TGTTACATTTAATTTTTAGCTGATCGGTGTTTCAAAATCCAATATATTCTATTGCGTTTTCCGAAAGTGGCGACTTATGTGGCATTGACGGTAGATGAATCAATTATCTAGGTAGGCTAGCTATCATTCTAGTAAGCTACTGTAGGTAATTCACCCGGCACCCGCCACCGTAATCGTAGCCTCTTTGCCCATGATCCCATCCTGGTAGTGGCGACTAGGGACTAGGGAGTAGGGAGGGGGGTGACTGGTCAGTTTTTCTGGGCACGTTATGATACTGGTAGTTCTACCGCACTACTGCAGCCTGTCTGCAGGCGGTACCGCTACAAGCCTACGACCATCACTGGCAGTCTGGCACAGTGGCTTGCTGACCCGCCCACCCGCCAGAAGTAAAAAACCACATTAGACTAAAAAATTATCTTTTTTGCAACTTCTTAAATCTACCCTTAGGCCTTAATGTGTGACTGGCTGCAGAGCTCTGAAATTTGAAGAGCATGCTCTAAGAACTGTATTACTGTAATACAGTAATCTTGATAGCCTATTCTATTTTAGGGTAGCCTAAATGCGGTATATTCCGACACATTAAGGACGCATCAAGAAATGAAAAACTATAAAAAAAAAAATATATTTGATTTTTCAGACGAAAGGATACACTTTAAACTGATCTCAGTTGATGTCTATAACCTATATGTATACTTTATTGAAGAAGAACATGATCCTGATCAATAGTTCAGGAATAATATCCATAAAATCAAATGATCCCCAATTGGGGATCATGGGCGCTAATGGGTTAATATAAAGGAAAAGTTAGAGAAGTGACAGAATTACCTACAATGTCGGAATATACCGCGTTTACCCTATTTCAATAACAACCCAATATAATATCAAATTTTATTTTTAGCCCAAAGTGGTACCTACCCTTTGGCCTTTGTGAATCCCAGCCAAGCAAGTAGGGTAAACGCGGTATATTCCGACATCGTGGGTAATTCCGTCACCTCTCCAGCTTTTCCTTTATATTAAGCTTTGTTTTAGTTCCATGCGTTTGTTGATGGTTGAAATGGTGACGTCATACATTTGCGCATCAAAATACTGCCAAAACACTAGGTCTTGGCCATCTAGCGGGAAAATATTGAGATCCAAAGAGAGACAATGCATGCCACCGTGAGGTCATCGAAAAATGTGTCAAATTTGACAGTTGACCTTGCTCTACCAAATAGTGAATAACTGTTTTTATAGGAAGAATATTATGGTTTGAGACTTTTAAATACGTCTGTGAATATATTAGGAATCCTTTAAGTATACTTGTATTCGCTGATTTCAAGTGGTAAATAAATTAATAGATGATTAAGTTGAGAAATGGATTTAGACACATGAAAACTAATTCTGACATAACTTGAATTGGACACACACAGATCGTTCCAAGCTGTGTACAAAAATTAAAATTTGCTTAATTAAAAGCTTAATAGTTGTATATAAAAGCGTAATTAAGTAGTGTCAATATTCATTAGTGTTCAAATTCAAAGCCATGTTGTATCCCAATACAGCTCACACAGCGAACGGAATTCAAACACGTGGATGACGGCATTACGTATCAGTAGAATTTGAAGCGCGGACGGAATACGCCTCACCATGTGCCAAATATAGCCACACAGTGACGGAATATAGGGATTTGGTAGGTTTCCATTCTAAAGGCTTTTTAATAAATATGGCAACATTTTGTGAGGTTTCATCGTTGCTGACGCGTAGTGAAGTGTTTTGAGAGTCACGTGAAGGCAACAGAACTTACGTAACGCATACGTTTTTTTTATAGTTTTCAATTTCTCGATGCGTCCTTAATGTGTCGGATTATACCGCGTTTACCCTAGACAATTGAATTGTGTATTTGAAAATCCTTTGACTGGAGATCACTTGACCTCAGATGTCCTGAATCCTGATTTTCCTCCAGGCTCCATGTAAGAAAATCATACTTTGACGTTAAATTTATAAAAAAAAGGTTTTTGATCTACCCCAATGTCATAATGAAAATGCCAGGTTGAACTGTATGGCCTTTTTGCTTGAGAAATTGGCATCTTTTAAGCCTATTTGGAATATTTAGTAGAAGTTTCCTAAAATCCTTCATAAAAACAATGGTTTCATTTCATGGGCAAGTTTAAAAAATAGGGTAAATGCGGTATATTCCGTCACATTGAGGATGCATTGAGAAATGAAAAACTATAAAAAAATAACTGTATGCGTTACTCAAGTTCTGTTTGCTTTATGTGACTCTCAAATTACCGCCCTACGTGTCAGCATCGATGAAACATCACAAAATGTTGGCATATTTATTTAAAAGCCTTTAGAATGCAAACCTACCAAATCCCTATATTCCGTCACTGTGTGGCTATATTTGGCACATGGTGAGGCGTATTCCGTCCGCGCTTCAAATTCTACTGATACGTAATGCCGTCATCCACGTGTTTGAATTCCGTTCGAGAACTAAAACAAAGCTTAATATAAAGGAAAAACTAGAGAGGTGACGGAATTACCCACGATGTTGGAATATACCGCGTTTACCCTAGCTGGTCAAAATAGGCAATTTTTCCTAATTTCTTAGAAGAAACTGTGGAAAAGTCATAGGAACAGGTGAAATTGGCCAGATTCCCAGGCGTAGTTGTCTGACTCATAGGTGGCTTCTGCCCAATTTCTACTTTAATTTTTAAGCTCTTCATTACCCATCTCTTTCTTAAGGGAACAGGCTTGGTGAAAAATAAAGGCCAATCATGGCCTTTACATGGCCTCATGGCCAATCTCTAAATTTAGTGACCAAGGAATATCTCCCAAACAAATGAACGCAGCTTGATAAAACTTGGAACACGTATTCATTAGGACCTAACGGTGATGTTTAGCTTCTACATTTTTTTAATTCCACCTTTGTTTGGGAGTTATATCTTATATGGCAATATGGGTCAAAATTTGCAGTGATCAAAGAATTTCTTCCAAATCACTAAACAGATTTGAACGAAATTTTGAATATAAATTCCTAATTACAAAAAGGTGATTTTTAGCTTGCTACAATTTATTCAATTCAGAGTCCTGTTCTGCACATGTTGTGTACAAATCTTCAACGTCAAACGACAAACAAACATACAAACTTCTGACTTTGACTTTGCTGACTGCTGCCCTGGGGCCCCCTACTGCCTCTTTCTTCCTCACTGCCCCTCCAGATCTTTACACTGCCCACAGGGAGGCAATAACGCCCACTTTGGGAACCACTGATTTAAAGCTTCAAATCTGGTGCATCTAGCATTGTAGGTACGGTAATTGGCATGTCTATGCATGTGTTAGTTTGTTCAGTAGGTTAAATTTTGTATGTGACAATTGGTTGATTTTAGTATGCAACCTTATCACTTCTTTTGGGTTTCCTGAAAAATCTGAATTTTCATTATTTTCCCACTTTTAAAGTATTATAACTTCTGCAGTATTCAAGCTACAGCATTGAAAGACATCACTTGATTCATAAAATACCTTACCTAGCGACTAGAAGCCCTCTTATAGTATTTGGTCATGGTTTGACTTATGTATGGAGGGAGTGGGGGTGTGGCAGGGAAAATGGAAAAAACGCGCATAAGAAAAAAAATTATGGGGAAAATAAAAAATTGGGGCTCTATAGCCACTAGGTAATTTTTTTACAAATCGAATGAAATGTGTCTCAATATTGTAGCATGTGATTTACAAAAGTTATAAACTTTTTAAAGTACCCCCCTTTTCTGCCATTTTCTATTAATTTGATGTTCTCCTTCATTTTTTCAAAACATTCATATAAGCCAATTGTTTTTTATTTTACTTTTACCCTTGTGTGTGAAATTTCAGAAAGATTGATTGATAAATGTTGAAGTTTTTCCGGGACCAAGCCAGTCCCCTTAAATGACATACCGTCAAATGGGGTAATAAGGGACAGGCAGGGTAAATCGGGACACGGGTCCCACATTTCATAGAAATGTTGATTGCAGCTAATCTAATAATCAAAATATTGCAAAACTAAAAAGAGTGGCATAACCTTGAACATTTATAGGTATCTGTTATGTATAAAGCTAGTTAAGAAATCATACATTTACTATCTCTAAAAAATTGCAGAAGAAAGTGTTGAAAGTGCAATTTTGAAAAAGTACCTCTACTAAGGTCTGGGGCCAAAAAAAATATGCGCTATTAAAAAATTTTACTTGCATAAAAGTTGCACACAGGTGTTGGCTTGAAAACGCGATTGACAAAATTTGCCCATCTTGTTAAAAAAAAAAATGTCAGCCATTTCCGTGTGACGAGGTAATAAGGGACACCCCTAAAAATGTATTTACAGTTAAGCCTCTGTTAGCAAAGGCTCCAGTTAACAAAAATATTGATTAACAACAAAGAATTTTAATTTTATTTATCATGCCCAATGAAAAAAATTTCACTTGTCAAAAAATTAAAGCATCATCGGTCATCACAAAATTGTGCACAGAATGTCATATATAGATATGTGCACTGGGCATCATAGAATGAAAAGTAATTAACGTGTTTTATTTCTACAAAACATATGATGGGTTTTTCTAGAACATCCCTTTCTGTTTCAGGTATATTTTTACAATATTTTTACAATATTTTTTTATAGGTAATTAACTTCAACTAATTAAGATGGTGTGAAATTACAAGCCATCCTGTAAGCTTACAGATATGTACAAAAGAAATGCTATATGGCTGCTGATATGAAGCTTGCAGTGGACAAGGTCATTGTAAATGCTCAATGGCATGTTTATGGATACGGTAATATCACATCAATGATACGGTAATGAATGAATATGGTGATATCATATTAATAAAGGATTAACAAGTAAAGAATACAGAAAATGTCATTAATTCTACACCTACATCATCTACAATGAAAGATGAGGACTTCAGAGTACTGTTAGTAATGGATGAGTACACTCTGCATGCTTCAAATGTTTTAAAATGAAGTTTTATTTCAAATGTCTTGGATTACCCTGTTCCCAGGGGTAATTCAGGATGGATTTGTTTTGCAATTGGTACCTTACAAATAGCATATGGAATTTTTTGGAAGATGGCATTTGATAACCCTTGCAAAGAGCTCTAAGGGGTAACTCAGGACAGTCCTCCGACATGGCGTAAAACTGTTTTAGTAGCAAAACTAATTGGAATATTGCAAAACTAAATATAGTGGCGTAAACGTCAACATTTTTCCTATCTATGTTGTATAAAGAAAGTTAAAAAATACTACATCTACTCTACTGGCTTTGAAAAATTCCTGAAAAAATGGTGAAAAACAATATTTTGAAAAGTTACTTCTGCTAAGGTCTGTAGTAAAAACAATTATTTGCCGTATTAAAAATTTTTGCTTAGAAAAAAGTGGCAGACAAGTGTCAGCATGAAAACTTTATTTGCGGAATTTACATACCTCAATCCAAAAAAATTGGCGGCCATTTCTGCATGGCGAGGCTACTTTGGACCCCCCCGGGGCTATACGGGACACCCCCAAAAACGCATTTACAGTAGAACCTCAGTTAGCAAAGGCTCCAGTTAAAAATTGATTGAAAACAAAGAATATTGATTACATTTACCTCGCTCAGCGAAAAAAATTTCACTTGTCGAAAAATTAGTGCATCATCAGTCATCACAAAATTGTGCATAGAATGTCATATATAGAATTGTGCACCAGGCATCATAGAATAAAAAGTAATTGACCCGAACTATGATTTATTTCTCCAAAACATATGATGGTTGTCACTAAAACATTCCTTTGTTTCAGGTATGTTTTTCATGATCTTTTTTTTTTATAGTAAATTCACTTAACCCAATTAGAATGGTGTGAAGTCACAAGCCGTCCTGTAAGCTTACAGATACAGAAAAAATGCTATAAGGCTGCTGATATGAAGCTTGCAGTGGACAAGGTTGCTGTAAATGCTCAATGGCATGTTCATGGATACGGTAATATTGCATCAATAACATGGTGATTAATGTATATGGTAATATCATATCGATAAATGAAAAAGAAGCAAAAATCACAGAAAATGTCATTTATTCTACCTCTACATCATCTACAATGAAGAGGAGGACTTCAACTTCAAAGTACTATTAGTAATGGATGAGTACACTCTGCATGCTTCAAATGTTTTAAAATGAAGTTTTATTCCAAGTGTCCCGAGTAGCCCCGTTCGACGGGGCTACTCGGGATACTCTTCTATTTTGCTTCTGGCACCTTACGAATAGCATATGGATTTTTTTCGGAGAAGCCATGTGATAGCCCTTGCAAAGAGCTTTGAAATGAGGCTAAACTTGTTTATGAAATGTATCATGGTAAGAAGTTATGAATGAAAAACTTTCGAAATTGTCCTGAGTAGCCCCGGTTGACAGTACATGACCTATCACAAACTATGGATTAATTGATCAACAGCACCCTCGCAGCATTGATCTCTTGCTTGATTTGATTGCTTGTATTTGTCAGTTGTAGCCATCCTAATGCACGCAAGTCTGTGTGGATCACCATGCATTGTCCATATTGATCATAATTGTCCATATATCTGGGATGATCATCAATTCATCATGCATTGCTACATTGATTGTAAATTGCAATCTATGGAGAATCCTGATGCAGCACCCGTGATATATGGTATGTTGTGCCATAATGAATTCAGCATCCTCAATATATGTTGTACTACCAAACTTAACAGTCTGTCCCCAATGTATAAGCTTTAATAATAAAGGCTATAACATAATTTACACATTTTTATTTCAAATTGAGAACTTGTTTATATATACTGAAAATAATTTAATACCCTTTTTCAGAATTGCAATGGATAGGAGTTTGACAACAATATCTGGGGGCGTGAGCTACGATGGCTCTTATGGCCAGGACAGTATTGTCTGGCAGGCATTGGCTCACAAGTCTGCATCCAAGTTATCATCTTCTGCTCTTTTCTGGGGTGCTGTTGATTTTGTCATCATTGCTGTACTCATGACTGCTCTGTAAGTTTTATGTACATTATTAAATATTATAGATTCAAGTAAGTGGTTGTGTTAACTCTAATGAAAGGGAATGGTTGCTTCCACTTTTCATCATTGTGATTGTAAGCTAAAATTAACAGTAAGATTTTGTGACTGGAATTGATAAAGACAGTATCAATTACTGCAAAAGTCTTGGTTTTTGATGATTGAATATTTACTCATTTTATTAAATTTATTCAGCAAAATTTCTTCTAAAAAAGTTTTGCCATAGATGATTTTTTTTGCATCTGTATAATTTGCATTTTTTGCAGTAATTTTCTTTATTAAGCATGGAAATATGGTTTCAGTGAGATAGAGAGCATTGCCAAGGTGAGTTTCTACTGGTGGTGTTGTGCGGCTGGCTGCGGCGTCTGCATGCTGAGTCTTCTACATCATGTCTGGCGCTATGGAAACTCATGGTTCCTCCTGCCTGTGCCTCTTGTTCATGAGAAACAAAAGCAGCTTCTTGCTTTACAAGATCATGGTGAGTTGTTCTGATGATTTTTCTTAGTTGCTTGCTGTAAAAGCCATATTAGTTCAGTTTATTAATTAGATAGTTTGTTTCTTCAATTATTTGCTTCTCTGCTTGAAGGTAACTCTCTTACTCTTCCCTTATGAACAGTTTTTGTGGACACTTTCTTGATGTAATAGGTTTTGCCTATGTAAATTGTATGCAATATTATTCAGTTAATGTTTTGATACACATGTATACATTTCTGTGTATTTTTCTTTGATGCAGCACATTTATAATAGTTTAAAATGTATGGTAAAAATTTTTATTCTTCACAAATAAATGGCAAATTCAGTCCAAAGCAGGCAGATGTCTTTTAACACGTTGACTACGATTGCTTCATCTTGTACAATTATTTCATTTTTTGTACTTTTTTCAGCAGGTTTGCCAGACGGTCATTTTTTCCGGACAAATTCCGTGATTTAGTTTTTCTCAATTGCGTTGGAAGGCTAAAATTTATTATAGGGGTACTTCCTAATTAAATTTTAAATACTGCAAAAAGAAAATAAATGCAATTTTTAAAGCGGGACCTACAAAAATAAACTAGTATATATTGAGTTATCGGCCTTTTTTTGCCTTCTTTGTTCTCAGATTTGGCCGATTTTAGGCAACCTGAATTATGTACCACTACCTCCTGGAGAAATACATTTCGTGGTACGCATATGTACCAATACGTAGTCAACATGTTAAGCATGCCATTAAGCAATGATAATTAATTTATACATACACTGATTAATTCATCCCTTTTTTTTTTTTGCATTGTCACTATTGGCCTTAGTGGTTTTGTAATCAATGATTTTTAACCTCATTAGTTATTGATGCTTTTTTTCATCTTTTGTCATTGTTTATTGGGCTTTAAAAATTGATAGTTTTAATTGTTTACTGGTTGATTAAATTTATCCTTATAAGCAAATTTTTTAATTAAAGGGCCCTTGGAAAAGTACCCGATAAATGATCTGCTTAACATCTGGTGCAGTGTAAGCATTAGAAAAGTCATCTTCCTTCACACTTGATTGATCCCAATTTAACTTTTATAATTTTTACAAATCTCTGAGAAGGGTTATTTTGCCTCAGGATAATCCTAGGTGCTTGGGTTATCTAGTACCCAAGATAAATAAATTAATTCTGTTCTGCATGGGTGAAATGAAATGATATATTAAGATGATCCTATAAAATTACTTCTGAAGTATTATTTTGGCAGAATGTAAGGTTGTGAGTGCTGCTCCTGAAGAAGCAACTTCTCCCGCACGCACTTCCCCACCTTTCTCGGAAGTGCTACAGCAAATGATGCGTACACCCTCACGTGCTGAGCTCTCAACAACAATGATGGACACTTCAGCCCTATCTTGGGGGTCTGTAAGTGGCAGTCCATCTAGTCTCACGTCACCATCACACTCTTGGCTCAGCTTCCCATCTCCCTACGCAATGGGGGAAACTGCAGTCAGTAACACCAGCTGGCTGTCTTCTCCTGATTGCTCGCCAGGTGGTATGGGCATGACTGCGTGCTCTAACACCAGCTGGCTCTCTAGTCCAGGTGGTTCCTTCAATGGCGCTCCTTATGCAACCTCTCCATCGTCCCCTGGCTTGCAAAACTCTTTGCATGTTGGTGCTAGCCCGGCACAACATACATCTGCAGGTAAGCTTAGCAAGAGTTGCAAAACATGGACGATGTTCTCAAAGTTTAACTAAATGATAAACATGAATACTAAACTCCATTGTCTCTTGCCACATGTCCTGTTGGCTTCTTGTTACAACTGAATCCTGTAACTATTCAGTAGATGCCTCACAATTTGTATTCTAGTTACTCAGCTTTAATGTTTACATTTTTCGGATTATTTTTTAGCAAATTTTTCCGATTGTTTGCTAAAATTATGCAGCATAATCCCTCTTGTTACATCTTTGTTTTTGCAACAGGCAGCCCCTTCAACTTGGCCTCAACTCCCGTCGCCAAACCACCAGGCTTACGTGGCACTCCAATCACCAGCAGGAAGGAACTGGACTCCTACATAGCAAACTACCAGCAACATATAGCACAGATCACGTCGGGTCAGGATTCGAGTCACTTGATCATCCAACAAGCTTTGAATTTAGTGTTAAGACTTTAATTATCTTGTGGATATTGCTTACACAAGTAAAGAGATGTCCAGAGACTGTACCATCACTACTTGCTTAAGTACATGTAGCAGTGATACGCTGGCGGAGTTACAAACTTGTTACTTTTCTTGACCTAACCTTATGATAGGTAACCTGGTTTGATATTTTTTTACTTACGTTATCTGTGTGGATACATTCCCAGTGCTGGAGAGAAGCAGTAATGGCGGCCACGGCAATGGAGGGCTGTGGTGCAGCCCCATGGGATCAGCCTCCTACCAGCAGCTGGGGGACGCTTCGCTGACTCTCCCCAAAAATGCATACCAGAAAGCCACTCCTGATCCATGTGCTTATTACAACCTTGTGGAATGTGTTGAAGCATAATTATAATGTCTCGTTCTTAAATTTTCATCTGTACAAAGTTGATATTGATTCATCAAAGTGTCATGTAATTAAGTATTCACGATCACTGTAAGGAATTATGGAGGGATATTAGAATTTAAGTCCTCTCTCGAGAATATAATGGAATAATGATATTTTTATGCTTTTTTTCAGTGCCTACTAGTGGGGATAAGACTTCCAATAAGGCTAAAGACCTGACCTCGATTGCCTCATCCACCACCTCCAAAGTTTGGCTTGCCAGGAATGTAACTCCTAGGCAACTTTTCCAAGTGAGCTTCTTGTAACGTTTCTTTCTCTTTCCTGTCTCCCTCTGTAATATTTATTCCTCTTCTCCAAAATAACTTTTTTTGTTCATTTTTCTGAATTTATTTCTCTATCTCTTCGTTCGCATATGTTGTATCTTTATAGTCTTGTCTAAAACACAGTTGGGGGAGTGACGTATGTATGATGTGGGAACTGTTAGTGAAAGCTTATACAAGACAAACTATAAAAACTTGCCCGCCTTACCTGAGACGCTAAAGACTTTTTAGCTGTACTTGAAATGTCTCTTAATACGTAAACACGTGACACATTTATTCTAGAGATGCTGTATGTAGTATCATTAGTAAGATGCAAATGAAACGAATACTGCCAGTTTCTGGCCAGTGGATTTCCTCTTCCACATACATTTCTTGTTTATGCATTTTCGACAAGAAATTCTTATTGGTGAATACATTCTCAAACTTGGAAATTATTACCTACCGTTGCACTTATTTAGAACATATATTATTTCCTTTACAGGAACAAACAAACGATCATTTGAATAAAATTTTTACGCAGCACTAATCTCAAGTTTGTGGCTTATATTGGGATGTCTTTATAATTAAAATTACTTTATCATACGAAAATCATTACATTTTCCCGAGATATTTTTGCAGCCTTTATTGCAGGTTTACGAAGTAATTGCCTTTAATACCTCAAATTAAATTACCATTCCAATCGTGCAATTACCGTTCCATCCAATAGTTACAAATCAAGCCCTTTGTTCTCATATCAGTACGAAGAGAACCTGAGGATTTTCCTGTGTGGCTCAGTGGTGCAGCCTCTTGTGAAGCTCATCGATCGTGCCAACACCATCCTGACTGATATTGCTCCCGACATGCAGGTGAGAACAGCAGAACAGGAGCATTCCTGAGGTCAGCTGTTACTTATTGTTCCTAATGAACAGGGTATCCCAGACGAGAGTTGTTACTTATTGTTCCTTGATGAACAGGGTATCCCAGACGAGATGTGTACCTCATGGTTCCTAATGAACAGGGTATCCCAGACGAGAGCTGTTCCTTATTGTTCCTTGATGATCAGTGTGCTTGAAGTGAACGAGTTTCAAGAGACTTGGTGATGTGATATTAACGAGAAAGCATTTAATGGAGTGTTTTACGTTTAGGAATTTACAGTTATTTTGAGCATAAAGTGTTTAGATCTGGTTACTATACAATTATACCTTTTTTTTTGTTGGAATGGTGAGTGTGGGAGGCCTTTTTAAAAAAAATATAAAAACAATATCCTTCACTACAATCTGTTTAGTTTATTTAATACTATTTTATTGTACGGTAATTATCCCGCCTATTACTAGATTGGCGTGGTGGGCGTTGAGAAGCTGCGTAAGGCCTGCATGTCGAGCACACAGCTGAGCAGCGTGCGACACATCAGCGCCCTCGTCCCACTGCTAGAACGCGCGCCTGCTCACCAGCACTACCTCGTGACCAGGTGATAATCACCAGCACTACCTCGTGACCAGGTGATGATCACCAGCACTACCTCGTGACCAGGTGATAATCACCAGCACTACCTCGTGACCAGGTGATAATCACCAGCNAATCTGTCTCTTATACACATCTAGATGTGTATAAGAGACAGCTCGTGACCAAATCCTAATCATCAACACTACCTCGTGACCAGATCCTAATCACTAGCACTATCGCGTGACCAGATCCTAATCACTAGCACTAACGCGTGACCAGATCCTAATCACCAGCACTACCACGTGACCAGGCCCTCTGCTGCTAACGTTACACTAGCTCTCCAGACTCGCATAGTTTCTCATTTTACTTGCCAGTGTAGTGCTTGCTCTCCACCAGATGCACATAAGCTTCAATTGCACCAGCAGATTGCGCGTATTATGACCGTACACTCGTTCAAAATCTTGCTTGAATAGCACATTTAGACACGATCAATAACCTGAAATAGCAATACCCCCCAAAGAGAACCAATGCTGCATTTTGGCACAAATAAGTATTCCTGTTTCATAAATATTTGTAACGAAAAGTATTAATATTATTACGTGGAAGTTAAAGTTATTTTTCGTTCCCTTAGGTTGCGGCAGTTTGCCAGTGGCGGGGCATTGTCGAGCTACTCGTGGGACAGAGGCGGCCCAGGCTGGACTGAACAGTGCCCAGCTGATGCAATTGTGCGTAAAATGCCATCGCTATTTATTGGATTGAACCTGCAACTTCCTGCGTGGTGTTTTAAAAACTAACAGATTTTGTCTATATTTTGTGTATGTTGCTTTAAGACTTTACTTGATCAAAGTCAAGCTCTCTGTATATAAATTATCTTGATTTTTATTGTGCAGCTCATTGTGCAGCTGCTAGCCTTCTACCTGGATTCTCAGCTCCCTGTAGACCCTCGTGAGAGCGAAGGAAGAGTTTTTTCTTCTCGCCATTTACTGAACCCTGAGGACAAACCACCTGAGCCTCTCACGTACCCTGTCCTGCAGATCACAAAGGTAGGATCTTCTTAGGACTCGATGATGTGCCAGTTGTGATGTATTTCTCAGGCTGCATTGCTGGGGCACTAGTCATCAACTAGTCCTGAAGTCCGATTGTCGGGAAAATGAATCGTGTTGTCTGTACAAGCTTTAGCTACTGTATCATACCAAATCGGTGGACGCGGACGTTAGCGCGTCTGATGGTTAATGACATGTGGACATGGCGATCATTAATTAAGAAATCCCAAGCCATGAACACAACTATTAACAAGGCTGCCTCCGTTATGTATACAGCGTTAGCCATTACAGAAGCAAGCTGCAATATTTCTCGGCGTGTTTGTATTCAGATGTTCACAAGCATTGCAACTAAGCGTAGGTACTAATCCGGGTTATCGACTTATCGTATTCTGGAAATTGCAACGTGTACATAGAATAAGGATAGGCCACATTCATCCCACTTTCATCTTCATGGTTAGAGTCGTTACAGTATGGGACATGACTCGTATCCCATACTGTAACGACCGCCTGATGCTCTGCTAGACAAGCACGCCAGAGCAGAGTTCGGCAACTATCGCGATATTTGAAAAAACTGCTTCCCGGGCCCATCACTCAACCTAGATGAGATTATAATAATTATTTGATTGAAATTTTTCGGAGAAACTTGAAAACCGTTAATTTCGAAGATACACGACATAAACCATCCTGATACTGTTAATCTATCACGATACATTGAAGGTGTCTTCCCCTTGACTTTATACCATTAATGTTGCCGGAAAAACTCATCATGAACCTGAACCTCGTGACTACGACAAGCCGTCGTGACCGCGATAGCAGACGTCTGCGACTAAACTGACGCCGGAACCGGGGAATATTTCCAGAGCTGGAAAGGCCTGAGCAGATCACGGCTCTGGACACTGCAAAACTGAAACTGAATGCCAGCGCGCAAATAGATTAGGCTGCTTGCCTGAGGCAACCAAAATGTCTTAATGATGATCCATCGTAATTTTATATAGCACTTTTGACGCGAAATATATCATATTTTTCTTAAGCGCCAGAAAGTTTCTAATACTACTACTCGCCTGAAACCGACGTTTTAGGTCGATTTTTCTAGAGCTATTGCCAAACTTTATTCAATGAACGCTGATTTTTGCAGTGACCAACTTCACAGACGACCTCTAACTTCTTGATCTGGACTTTATTTCGGTTGTTTTAAATATTCTTCTCCAATATAATGTAGATCATTATAAGAAATATTACGACCATTATTCACGATTTGATTATTTATTTTATGTGATATGGCTTCCGTGCTGACCATATTTAACTAGAGTACATTTGTCAGTTATCGCCACCTCACATCGAAGTGTTACTCCCTGACGAGGGCAAATGCGACGTGGGTGCGGGCCACAAGAACGCCCTGCACTGCCTACTGCTGTTCCTCCATCACCTCGTCCACACACAGCACTGCTGCCTGGCGGGTGTCAACCTCGCTCTCACGGGCATCAATTTAGCATGGGTCGTGTCTAATGACTAGCCCGGCTTTGTTACCGTCTTATTTAGTTACTTCTTTTGCTTACAATTTAGATTAAGACCCAACCCAGGTACAAGTTAGTGATTGCCTTGTTCTAGCTATATGGATGTATTATTACTGTAATTTTTAGTTTTATGCGTTTTGATGCAAATCCGCTACGGATTGCGGTTTATTCAATACCTAGTATTTTTGTGTATGGTAGAATGCTAAGCACACTCGGTTGTAGTCTTGTCTTGGAACGTCATTTTTTAATGAGTTTTTTTGCCGAACCAAGATCTCGCTCGTTTACGACGTCTTCTAAACTAGCCTAAGTTTAAATCGAATGAAAGTCTTCTAAATGCTCATCTCATGTAATTTCTGAAGAAATGTCGAATTTTTAAGCATTTGTTCTTCACGCCGCATTTAATTTAATTTTGCGGCCATATAGCTGCACCTGAGTACATGTTGATTAATATGACATTAATGACTGAAAATTATATTTGAAATACACAAATTTGTTTTCATATTCCTCGTTTAATAGTTGTGTTGAAAGTGCATTTTGTTCCAGTTGTGAATTTTATTATTCCGATTCCTTCACCAGTGAAATACTCATTATTCAGCTATTTTAAATCGAGTGTATTGGAGACGAGTTATGGGATTGCAAATCGTTTAACGAGTTTCCTTCTCAGTTACGGCGCTTACAAATAAATGCACAAAAACCTTTTTTAATTTGTACGACGTTTCTGAATTTGGGTCAAGGAATTTTATAATTGGTGTCGCCACCGTGTCTGGAGCAGCGGAAAGACGCAAGGAGTAAGAGTTGGACGAGATCGTCAACTGTCTAACATTCTGCAGCGCTTTTTTAATTCATAATTTCGCCAGTGTATGTGTAGGCTCAGTTGGCTGAACTATAAATTGATGCCGTTCGCGCTTGTTAACACAATTCATGAATAAGTTTCGTGTTAGAAAATTAAATCTTATTTGAAATACTCTTTTGCGCCCCCAATTGGTTGAGCGGTCACTTGAGTGAGTGAGTCGGACCTATGAACTGAAGATAAAAGTTCGTGAAAACTGAAAATCATACCTCAATACTTGGATACTCTCTACTATAGTAATGCCATCATTTCAGCGATATGGACGTGTAAGTTCAAAGATTTTATTTAGTTAAGGATTTTCAGCCATCATATACTGGTACAAGGTACTACTGTTTTATTTTAGTCATTTTACCCATTTGGCCATTTCTATTTCCATTCCCTAATTTCTTGAATACCTAAATGTGGGCACTGGGCATTGATGCATACCTAATTTAGTAATTACCTAGTTACCAATGACTGAATGAGGAATTGGTTAGGGTTTAGACTGTTCAATGTTCAGTAACTTCAGTCTTCAGTTATAGCCTACTGTAGTTGTATGATCTATCATATACCTACTCTAGAGTCTAGGCTACTCATATACTATAGCCTATATAGGTACCTACTAGTTAGAAATTTTCTTTAATATCTTATGGGAGAAAATAGTGAGTGACACTGTGACAGAGCAGTGAGTACTGAGTAATTGAGTATATATACAACTAATACAAGTTGAACAAAACACTGCCAATCTGCCATTGGATTAGGAACAGGATTGAAATTTTATTACTTAGGTACTATTCTAGAGATTTTATGGTCCCATTCCCAAACCCAATTCCCAAAGTGACCAATTTCCAATAAGGTACTTATGTAGTCTTGCAGCCCTTGTTTTGTGCATTCATATTAGGTATTAAAAATGAGGAAATTTATCTAGGGCAAATTTTGCAGTTCCAAAAAATGGTTGCAAAGCTTTAGTTCTAGTTGCAGTTTAGAAAAATATATACGGTATTCCATTATTTCCATATGCCTATGGTCCACTGGGACTGGGTCCAGTCCATTGACCAGACGGTCCAGACCTTTTGCTCAAAAAATGCATTGTTATGTGATAATATAGATTCATAGAAGACTCCCCAATTTAAATTCAGGAATTTAATTTCCACCACGCTGGGTTGAAGGCATTAAATAATAGTCATGTCAGTAAACACTATGGCTTTTTTCATGGTTAGTGTCTCTCCTAATTTGAACAAATTTTGATTTGAAACATTCATAAGTGATTTAAAGTGGTTGCACATGACACATGTTCATTTTTAGAATCTAAATGTTTTTGTCTTATTCATTAATCATTGGTCGCTTCTATGCAATTTTCCTGTTTGGTCTTCCACTCTTCCATTTTGGTTTATTGAAGTGCCAATATTTTCACCTGTATGATTGAGGTCATGTAGGGATTAATTTCTAGCCATTGCAAACAAAATGTTGGGTTCATGCCAATAATATTATTTCTTTAAACAGAACGTAGGAATGAGTCTACTACTCCTCTACTGTTTAGAATCCACTGTTTTGTTCTATTTATTGTACTTGAACAATCTTGACCCTGGAAAAAAAATGCCTCCTTGTTTATTTCTATGATTAATAGCACAATGTGCCAGAAGGCAGGGCCATAGGGCAGGGTGGCCCAGTAGTTAAAGTTCAGAGTGCCAAGATTGGCGCAGAGAGGCGTGGGTTTGATCTCAGCTCTGTGCACCAGTTTCTGGTCAGATTTGGCAAGGAGGCCAGGCGGTTAAGCACAGCAGAATTGTAGCAGTCAGTTGCATGTTTGAAACCGCAACAAGCTGTGAATGTTCTGCGATGTTAAGAATCAGTGACAGGCCTATGGCCTAATAAATGCTGAAACTGCTATTATTATTATAACATCCATAAGAATAGTTTCTTTAATAACAAACAATTCATTTATATCCCATTTGTTTCAAGTTTGACCTTCATACTCCTGCTGTTAGATATTTATTACCACATGAAAAGAATTTATTGTAATAATTTTAATAATCAAGTGCTAATAATATCATTACTCATGTCACAGCTTTCAGACGGTATGGAAGAGCTTAGTGAGGAAGACAGTAGCTCAGAACAATGTGCTCTGCTGGCTGCAAATGCTGACTCAGGTCAGGCTCAAGCTGAGCAGCCACCAACAGTCTCCATTGTAACTGTAGGAGCACCTTCTCTTCCTCAAGCAACAGGTGCGTGGAAGAAGTTTTGTATATTGTGATCAATGCATATTATTCACCAAGCATCAGAGTTGAAGAGCTGTAAAATTCTCTGCTGATTTTCCATTGAAATTAATATTTCTAATGGGTCAATGGCTTACAGCAAACTCAGAAAAAAAAGCTCTTTAGAAACTAAGAATTTGAAATTTAGTGTTCTATATTCTTACAAAACTGAAAGAATTTTATTTCACTCCCAAAATAATCAGAGTAATCAATGTTTGAAATTTATTTTGTGTACATTTCTTTACCTACCAGATCTAAGGGACTAATTATAGTACATTTTTCAATATGTTGTCATAAGAAGGATTTTTGTTACATTTTTCTTCTATGCATTATAACAATCAATTCATCTATTATATAAACTTGTCTCTCAAATTATTTACAACAATACTATTCTCTAATTGTATGTGATGAGCACTACTAGCATGCATTGCACATTTAATTGTAAATAAATATATTTTTATGTATAATTTGTAGCGCATTTTCTCATTAGCGAGAAAATGTATAATTTTTAGCGCATTCTCAACACTATTGTGCTCACCATGTCAGTCTGTCTGTCCACTCTCAAATTATTTACAGCAATACTATTCTCTAATTGTATGTGATGAGCACTACTAGCATGCATTGCTCATTTAATTGTAAATAAATATATTTATATGTATAATTTTTAGTGCATTTTATCATTAGCGAGAAAATGTAAAAATTTTAGCGCATTCTCAACACTATTGTGTTCACCATGTCAGTCTGTCTGTCCGTCCGTGACTTCACGTTTTCGTCGACAAGAAAATGCGCTCTCTGTCACTCACTGCAGTGAGTACTGAGTTATATTTTTATGAAGTTGATCCTGCCATTTTTTGGTACAACTGTAAAAATTTTCAATGAGAATTGGTCAAATTTTACTGTCACTGGAAATAAACTTCTATGTATTCAATAGAAGAGTTGGGGCCTCCCAAAGTTGACATGTCAGCACCTCCACCATACAGTGAATGTAATGACGGACACTCAACAATTGTGGCCATTGATGGACCGATGTGCAACATCAGCCTTTCAGGTATTTATAAAAAATATAATGTTTGTATATTTGTTGGTTACAGATTTAAAAGTAATATTGTCCTTACCAATGATGTGTCTTCTTAGCTATCACTTCAAATTTTATGAACTGAAATTCAGAGATTGAAAAGAATGCATCATTCAGATTGAGATTGTTGCATGTGAGCAATATTATTTGAAAGATTGTTTAATGGAAAAACACTTTTTTGTTAGATGTGTTGAATACTCCATTTACTTTAACTGCAGACATACATATGTGTGACAAAAGTCACAAAACCCTGGCAGGAATACAAAAATTGGACACTCTTTAGTTTAGATTTGAAACATTGTCACTCTTTTACAGTTTACAAAGATATTTTCATTGAAACATTCAATGAGTGTTCACTTGTAAAAATGAGAACTTGAGAACTTCCTGCTGTTTGACTAGTGAGAACTTTTTATTTCTTAACATTGTTTAATTTTAATTATTATTGAATGTTTTGGCCAGGAGCTGGATTGAGCGGAGATCTGGCGGGCATTGAACCCCCTTCGTACGAGGAAGTGCAGCGCATCAAAGCTGTTGAGGCTCAACTGGAATCAGGGGACCACATTCTCATGCCTCCTCACACTGTAAATTAATCCTTGTTGCTCACTTTTTCTTCACCACTTGTTCAAAAGGACAGAATAATTCAAATTTTACTTCTTGCAGCTTACTTAGTTACCTCTTGTTGTCCTAAATTGTTTTGTCACTCATATTGTTTCTTAAGCCAAAATAAATTGTTTTTCATTTCATTATTTCTATCAATAAATATATTGACTGAATATTGGCTCCAAGATTTTGATACACAAAAGTACTGTCTAAAGAATTATTATCACTGAAGCAGTCAATATAATTATATAATTTCATTATATACTAATAGCAGTCCAATTTTCTTTTTTGTGATTTAATGTTTTTCAATATTGGCAAAGCGACTATAAAGTTCAAGCACAAAAACCAGTGCAAATGAGGGTAGATTTTAGCTATTTTTTGTTGTTGTTGATAGCGATGTTCTGATTTGCAGACAATGGCAGATGGGGAGACCAGCGACAGTAGTGAGTGTGGACGAGGAACTCAAGAAGACCTCTTAGGGACTGACATGCTCTTCTTCCTCTCGTTTGCTGGTATGCTACCGTCTGACTCTACTCATTCATATTTATTGTTTCAGTTTCATACTTCAGTTATTGTGTGTATAGAATTTTTTATTTTTTTGCTTTATTTCTGTGAATCTTGGAGTAATATTCCTGATCATGACTGAGTTGAGTTTCTCTGATCATATTTAATTCACCTCCTTATTGGCATCATATAGAATTGCACTATTTTTCTAAATTAGAATAAAATGAATCTTAGGATCTCATCTGATGAGACACTAATGAAAATTAACTTGAATCCAGCTGCTTTCCTGTTCAACTGGGTTGGCTTTGTGGTGCTGGTGTGCTTCTGCCACAGTGTGGCGGGCCGGAGCGGCGCACTAGCAGGCTTTGGCTTGTCGCTGGCCAAGTGGGCACTCATCATGCGCCACTCATCCATGCTCGCTAAGGAAGCCAACAACTGGCTCCTTTGGCTCATCATGCTACTCGGTTATTGTCTTTAATAATTCTATTAAATTATATAGAGATAATTCTAGAATAATTTATTATTAAATGATATTATGATTAATATCATTTCAGTGCTTACAATGAAAGTTAACTATGTATTTATTAGCAAGAAAACTGGCAGTAAAATCCATATTAATTTTTAGTGAAAATGTTCATATGAAAAGAGGCAATTGTCTCGCTATTTTCTTTGCTGGTTAATTTGTGGTAAACTTGGTAGGTACGGCTATTGGTTTTTTATTCTTTTTGCTCACTGATGACAAATATCTTGGAATTCACAATTTTAATAGAATGGTTATTGATTCTGAAATGTCGCCTCAATTATTAGTTATTTTTATACTCCAGTTGCGTTTATACTGATGACTGAGTAGGTGTAATTCATTTAGTACCCATATTTTCTATTCTAAGAATTTTCGGATTTCTCAGGTTGATAAATTTCTAGAAAGGTTAATCCATCCAAATTTTGTCGGGTCTTAGCGCGCAAATGAATTCTGTGGCGAGTTGACCTGTGTTTCGTAGCAGGTCAACTCAGATTTTTTAAGTGAACAAATTTTAATGTTTGTTAATCCATCAAATATTTTGTCTGGTCTTTGCAAGTAAAGTTGGTAGAGAGTTACCCTTTGATATATACCTAATAAATTTCTATGAGGATTTATTAACCTAAGATCAAAGCTGTTGAGGCTCCGCAAGTAAGTGAAGTTGGTGGTGAATTTACCTGTGGTTCGCGGCAGGCGTGGTGATCAGCATGCGGGCTGTGCTGCAGTATGTCACCGCCAAGCGTGAGTGGCAGCGAGCTTCAGTTGCCACAAGAAACCGCTTCCTGCTGTTCCACTGAGACCTGCGCTACTCATGAGGCCTCCATTGAATAACTGGTCGTCCTAATTGATTAATACCTAATTAATCATCTAATTAATTGATAACTCTGTTCTTGATTTCAGAAGCATCTAGCAAAAGGTTATCTAGTCCTGCAAGAGCGCGATAGTGCTGCTCATATTCTGTTTGATATTTTGCACGTTTTCAAATGGGATTACCTGTCGGTGAGTTTTAGCTTTCATGCAAATGATTATAACGGTTTTAGTTGGTGTTTCTCATCACGGCTTCATGGTGGCAGTTGATGGTTGCGTGAAAAATACAGCCGTTCATTTGCTTTATATTAATTACTAGAGGCTTAAATTTTGTTATTTTAACTAGCAAGTTTTACCTTGTACTATTGCGTTCAATATAATCTACATAGACTACACTTTTACAAAATTTCTATTTTTAATGAAAGCATAGTCTTGTTTTCTTTGGAAATTATATATAGCATTAAGTGATGAGTTACTTTTTGATTGTTATATAGGAAGATTAACTCGTCTACGAATCTAATTAATTTAAAACCTTATTTATGTATAAATCTAAATCTCTACCTTTTGTTACAAAAGATTAAATTGCCAAGTCAAGTTGTGGCTTGGGTAGTACATGGCCATGGCCATGACAGGTCTTGGTCAGAGGCAGCAGCTACAGTTGGCTGATGAAGTAAATACTTCACTTTCTTATCCCTCGCTATCACCGCAAAATTAATGAATAAAGCCAAGAGTAAAATACGTGTTGATATTATTAGGAACTATTCATGTTACTAGCATGTTCATTAGTATTGAGCATGTAAGATTTTTTGTTGGTGTTTTTGCTTTGTTCACTGCCATACAATTTATTTTCCTATATTACAAGAAAGAGGAAGGGGATAATATCTTTATGATTTGATTTATGTGTTCCTGACCGCTGAATATTTACAATTTAATTTATTCTTCAATTGGGAACATTAATTTTTTTATAGCAGTTTGAGTGTGAATATTATTTAGCACTGCTTTCCAGGGGAATTTTTATGTGTATCTATGCTATAAATTTTGGATGGCGCAATCTTGTAGTTTGACTTGCTTGCGGTCATTCATACGTATATTCTTTCTTTTGCATCGAATGTGACTTCACCTCGTCAAAAGTTCAGTATTCCATGTTCTTAGTTGTTTGCTTTAATACTATTTTAGTCAATGAATTTTTGCGGTCAGTTTTCAGTAGCTTTAATAGTCATCATCTTTCCAAAAAAAGTCCTAGTACAACTTTAGTCATAATTTATTTAATTTATATCACTCAATTAACATTCTATCTTATTATTCAATACGTCCAAATGTGTGCGCAACATGCCTCAGACTCGACAAAGCATCAATAAAATTTGTCCCTCTATGTTAACTGATATAAACTAGCTTGACTATGTGTCCGGACAATATTTGCGTATTACAAGCTCTTCTAACTTCTGATTTAAATTTCACTTTCTGATGACATTTATGCAGCTTTTAGCTCTAACAGATTTCATTATCACTTGGATAAAAAGTCTACATTAAGACAGCAAACGTTTCCTCGCATTCTAAGTTCTTCATAGCTTTCTGGATGTGACTTTAATATATATTGTTTTCATTTATGGCTTATATGCGTCTATAATGCAGTGCTTTTCATATTAATCTTCATTTCATTGCAGTCAAATTTATTTTTATGAGGGTTAAGAGCTACTCAGCATGTGTTCTATACCTTGCGTTCTGTTGAAATACCTCGTCAAATATGACAATTTTTAGACAATTATTCTCAGTTTGATATTCGTCTTGCGAGGCGATGATTTCATGCCGCGTTCACTGTGGATATTAACGAAATGTTTGGTAATGGACGCGATACGATTCTGGTTAACTAATTAATTTATAATATTGCCATAAATCCTCTTTCTAGTGCAATTTTTAATTTTGAAGTGATACACTACGTCGTAGTTTTTGTTTGAAACACAGATGCTATGCTTTAATTTCGTTTTAAATTCATTCAGATGGAAAGTTTCCAGTCTTGCTATCCCACCGGTAGGTTTCTGATGATAATTGATATTCCTTTACAATATTTAGTAGCATGTACGGCCTCAAACTGGCTCTCTAGTCAATAAACGATATATATAATCCATCTACATCTGATATTGTACGACTGCATTTTTTATTCACATTTCCTATTTTGTTTGTCACAATTTAGGATATTATGACAATCAAGTTGTCTCTATCGTTTCAATTCTTTTAGATACATTAACTAAAGCCTGATCTAAAATTAATTAAAAAATATAAAGCCCATTGTTAATTAATGTTAATGTCGGTGTAAAATATCATTTGATATTTTTTATTTTCTGAAATTGTGTGTGGTTATTCCTGTAATAATTTCAAAGCAACCTTGTTTCTCCGATGATTAGTAATAAGTGTCCCGATAACCACATTCTGATATATATTGATTGGATGCTATACGAATTAGTTGACCAGCACTTACCAAGCAACTTTGGGTAACACCGGTTTGCTCTCGCATGCATTTGCGATCAAATTACGTCGCGTCCCAGCATTACATCGGCGTGGCTCCTCGAGGATTTTGAACGTCGTTATGTTTTATTTAATCCGTTAGAACTGGTCAATGTATGCCTGACTTTATATCTTTTATCATAGAACTTGCACGTACCTATATTTTAATTTTCACAGCTTAAATATATTATGCAGTAGTCTCTTTATTTTCATCCTACCCTTGTTTGGTTCCGTCGCGCATCGACGTATGTTTCACTGATACTTCGTGTGCCCTACTTGTTTGGAATTCTGTAGTATGTACGGAATCGGTTTACCTGTCGCGGTCTTAGGATACTGGCTTAACTCGATGAAACTTTTCGTAGGTCTTCCGCATTGCAATTCCTCAACATTCGTTGTCAAACAGCTATCTGTTCAGGCAAACCGGTGGAATGTAAAATTATGTTCCGTTTAGCATGTACTTAAGCCTCTTTAACCGTATTATGTATAATACGGTTACTCGTGTGAGAAATTCTGCTTCTACTGATGTTGCAGTAGACTGATGATGATGCAGTAGACTGATGATGTTGCAGTAAGCTAAGACTTGGCGCGTGTCAAATTCCACGTTTCATGTTCGATAGATAAAATCTCAAGAGTTATACTCGCCTAGTTATTCACGCGAAGAAGACCAATTGCCCTCTGTCATGAGGGCAATTCAATTTCAATATACAATTTTTGGTTACTCGATTTAAGAAAAAACTCGTAATAGCGTCTTTTCGTCAACTTGGAATGCATTCAATCACTTTTACTTTTTTTTTTTTTTTTTGAAAGCATGAACGTCACAAAAATCTGCCAAGGGTCCACACTTGGCAAATTGATCTACGCCCACCCACGCCACCACACCTCGTCGCTTGTGAACAATCCTTTACCGAGCTCCATCTGGTGTTCCTGTGTGTCGGTTGTGGCGAGCTGCCGTCGAGTCTAGAGGTGCTGCCTTCCTACTAAGCGGCAAGTGGTTCATTTAGAAGCGCTTGCTGCTACACAGAAAGCACCAATATTTTTGTAAATACAAAGAACATTACACTGATACACGATAAATGAGTTACATGCCATGGTGTATTTTTCCTCGCACCTACATATCAAGATTCGATAGGGATAATCTCAATATGCCTCAGGTTGTCTATCCTAAACATCCTTTGGAATAACGGTAGATGAGCAAACCGCAAATGATCTAATATGCCAAAAGATTGTCCATGGAGTGAAGTTTAGTGGCTTTTATTAATTAATTATTTATCAATAGATGCTTGGTAAAACAAAGACTGCTATGACCAGGGGGTGTTCTTATTTCTTATCGGGGGGGGTTGTCTTATTTCATTAGCTAGCGTTGTTGATGTGGACCATCTCTGTAAACACGCAACATTTAAATGTACAGACAGTTAGTACTTACCCGACGAAAAAAGCCCGACGAAAGCGACTCCTAGATGCAAGGCAGAGTGACCGAGTGGTTACGGGTAAGATGAAAAGGGGGGAAAGAGAAATTCAGGAGGAATTTATTTGGTCCACTAATGCTATGTCCCATTTATTGCACTGTAGCATTTAAAGCTAATTTTAGATATGGTACGGCATGGTGCCCGGAATAATCGTTTGTATCGTATTGCCATATTATTGATACAGTTATCCTTATTTTATTATTGTTTGTCTCTCTATACCCTTCCGATCACGTGATCAATTGATATACCTTTAATTACAGTGGTAACGGACATTTTAATCACGAGCGTAATCATGGTTGAACTACCTACTGGTAGTTCAACCATGAGCCTAATGGTGTCAATTTTGTACATGAATTTACAAACACGTTATTATTTCAAATTATTATAACAAAAAGTTTTCTCTCATATAATGAAACTACTAAAAATTATTAGCTTAGAAAACTTCGATGTTATTTAGCCAAGATTTTTTCAACAGCTGTGAACAAGTAATTTTCAGTAGAGGTTGTCGTCGAAGAAACAGTGTTTTCTCTAAATTCTTTGCCAGTCTTGAACCATTTATATCGTAGACAAGTACTTAATTAGGTCATCCTTGAATACAGTTTATGCTCTGGAAGATCTATTGTTTCATTTTTTTTACCTGAGCGAAACTGTGGTATTTGATTATAAACTGAAAGCCTATAAATTCACAAGACGAGGTATATTGGTGAGTTAAAAATACTCGTTGGCTTCTCGTACGGTTCAGTGATTGGTCGAATCAAATTTGTGAGGGAGACGGACTGACGACATAGGCTGAGAGAGTTGTTGTAACACTAACAGCACTTTAAATTAAATCTTTCAGGATGATGTCGAGTCCACTTCCTGCAAGAAAGAACGTGAGGAAGCCATGTTCAGGACAAAATATCAAAGTCTTTGTACGATGCCGGTAAGTTCTATTATAAGCTCCTAATTCTATTAATAAACAACCTGCGGGGCTGCTGACACCTCATAGCCTAGGAGTGATAGGACCGGAGTTGTCTCCGAATTTGAACTATTTTATTGCTGTTACTGTATTCAAACTTGGAAAATTTTTTTGAGACTATATATATTCGACTTGAATTTAAATCTTGATGTTATGCATGCACAAAATGAAATGAATTCATAAAAAATATTTGATTTACCCCGGTAAATTGCCACTATACCTACAAAAATTTCACTGCACCCATATATGAGTATGAATAATGTTTCATTCTGACCCGGTTAATGCGAAATTATGCGATACCTGCTTCGAATTTTGATAAGACGCAGTAAGCCTGTAAGGAAATTTTTTTAGAAGAGACTGAGTCTGTTCCTTTGTAATTAAATTGAGAGCAGTCATTAAATTGGTTATGATTTTATATTATTCATCATTGTTGTCATCATAAGGGTACATTTATATTTTTGATGGTACCTAGGTATGTGCTCCTGAGTCCTGAATCCTGATTACTAGTAGAGTAGTAGGTACTTGACAGCTTTAGTTTAGGGGTTTGAAATATGAATGGTTCTTTTTAAGTCACTGGGTCAATTTGATAAATGTTTATCATGGTACATTTGCATAATTTGTGTGATTTTTGGAAGTGTCAAGCAAAAATGTGAAGTTCCTCTATTTTTTTAAAGAGGTTTGGCAAGGGCTACTGTCAATTTTGTGTCAAACAGGTTAATAAATAATAAGTATAAGGGACTATTTTTTACAACACTTCTCTTTAACTTGACTTCTTGTTGTTTGTCTGCTACAAATCTTATAATTGATACTTGACATACTTCAACCAGTCCAATCAATCTGAAATTTTGCATACTTTCGTGAAGTCGGAGACAATGCTTGCATCAATTGACAGAATAAATGATGGTAGGGTAAACGCGGTATATTCTGACACTTTAAGGACGCATCAAGAGATAAAAAGCTATAAAAAAATAACCATATGCGTTACTCAAGTTCTGTTTGCTTTACGTGACTTGCAAAACACGGCACTACGCGCCAGCAACAATGAAACGTCACAAAGTGTTGCCATATTTATTTAAAAGCCTTTAGAATGCAAACCTACCAAATCCCTATATTCCGACGCTGTGTCAGTGTGTGACTAAATTTGGCATGTTGTGAGACCAATTCCGGCCGTGCTTCAAACTCTACTAATACGTAATTCCAACATCCTTGTGTTTGAATTCCGATCGCTGTGTGAGCTGTATTGGAATACAACACGGCTTTGAATTAGAACACTATTGAATATTGAACACTACTTAATTAGGCTTTTAATTAACAGCTATTAAGCTTTTAATTAAAAAAATTATAATTTTTGCACACAGCTTGGAACGAGCTGTGTGTGTCCAATTCAAGTTGTGTCGGAATTAGTTTTTATGTGTCTAAATCCGTTTATTAACTTAATCATCTATTAATTTATTTACCACTTGAAATCAGCAAATACAAGTATACTTAAAGGATTCCTAATATATTCACAGACATATTCAAAAGTCTCAAACCATAATATTCTTTCTACACAAACAGTTTATCACTATTTGGTAGAGCAAGGTCAACTATCAACTTTGACACATTTTTCAATGATCTCACTGGGTGGCATGCACTGTCTCTCTTTGGATCTCAACATTTTCCCACCAGACGGCCCAAACCTAGTGTTTTGGCAATAGTTTGGCGCGCAAAGGTATGACGTCACTATATCAAAAATCAACAAATGCGTGGAACTACGACAAAGCTTAATATAAAGGAAAAACTAGAGAGGTGTCGGAATATACTGCGTTTACCCTAATACTTTAGATTAAGTGCATCCAAAAAAATGTGTTTTTTTAATTGTTTTTTGGGGTGTAGATTAAGAATCTGAAATCCATTTTTTGCGTTTGGCATCGGAAATTTTTTATGGAACCTGTTCCTAACTGGACCTAACCTGCAAGGTTTTCGTTGATTGGCTAGGATTTTACTGCCGCCGGACGGACTCCAAACATAGAAAAAACCAATTGGCTAGGTTTTTCCGGCCGCAGGACGGACTCCAAACATAGAAAAAAACCTAGCCGATCAACAAGAACCTTGCAGGTTAGGTCCAGTTAGGAACAGGTTCCATTGAAAATTTCTGATGCCGACCACCAAAAATGGATTTCAGATTCTTGATCTACACCCCAAAAAACATATAATTAAAAAAAATAACACCCTTTTTTTTGGATGCACTTAATCTAAAGTAATACCTAAATGATTTTGAAAATTTGAAAGTTTTTTATTTAAAAAAAAATAAAAAATAATTTTTTTAATATTGAAAATAAAATTGAAAATTCATTGTGCTTATTTGTACATGTACAACATTGGAAACACTGGATTCTATAGAAGTTTTGTCCTTGGACAAGATATTTTAAGAGCATATTATAATTATATTACTTCTTACCATGAAACATTTCATAAACAAGTTTGAGCTCATTTTAAAGGCTATTGTATGGCATCTCCAAAAAAAAGTCAATATGCTATTCATAAGGTGCTAGAACTTATAAGCAAAAACTTTGTGCCAAATTGTCCTGGGAGCCTAGGAAGGGGGTATTCCAGGACACTTGAAATAAAATTTAATTATAAAATGTCTGAAGCATGCAGAGTGTAGGGCTACTCATCCATTACTAAGAGAACTTCAAAGTACTCCTCTTCATTTTTAGATGATGTAGATGTAGAATAAATAATGTTCTGTGATCTGTCCTTTTTTCCATTATTGATGAAATTGCCATATTAATTTTTCATTTATAAAACTACCAGTATATATATATATATATTTTTTAAATACTCAACACCTTTAAAAGCCCACAAAAACTACTTCAATAACATTGATTAATGACAATGACCTTGTTTCCCTTCATATCAGCAGCCATATAGCATTTCCTCAGTTAGCTTACTGGACTGGCCTTGTAACTTAGCACTATTTCAATGGGTCAAGTGAATTCATTTACTATAGAAAAAAAGTAAAAGAAATACATGAAAGGAATATTTTATGAGGAATACTTTAGTGACAATCATAATATTTTTGGAGAAATAAATCATAGTTTAGGTTAATTACTTTTCATTCTATGTTGCCCAGTGCACGATTCTATCTATGAAATTTTGTGCTGTCCAATTCCAATGGTTCAGTTATTTATCATTAAGTGAATTTTTTTTGCCAACTCTGGGAGTGGCAAATTTAATAAAAAATTATTTGTCATTAATTAATTTTTTTTGTTGACCAGACTCAAGGGTCTTTGCTAATCATGGTTAAACTTTGTATGTGTTTTTAGAGGTGTCCAGTATTACCCCTGGTGGTTGTCCCATCTTGTGAAAATGCCAGCAATTTTGTTTTGGGTTGAGGTATGCAAATCCCATCAATTAAGTATTATTTTAAAGTCAACACCTGCCTGCGAGTTTTTTTCTAGCAAAATTTTTTACTATGGCAAATATTTTTTTTTTACTGCAGAACTTTGTAGAAGTACTTTCCCAAAATATCATTTCCTAACATTTTTTCAGGGATTTTTTAGAGCTAGTAGATGTACAATTTCTCAACATCCTTTATACTACCGTACATAAAACAAAAAATTTTAAAGTTTACATCACTAACAAATATTTTTTTTTACTGCAGAACTTTGTAGAAGTACTTTCCCAAAATATCATTTCCTAACATTTTTTCGGGGATTTTTTAGAGCTAGTAGATGTACAATTTCTCAACATCCTTTATAGGTACCGGTACTACATAAAACAAAAAATTTTAAAGTTTACATCACTATTTTTAGTATTGAAATATATCAATCAGTTTTAATGCTATAAAATTGTAATGCCATGACAGAGGGTTGTCCTGATTTACCCTGCCAGTCCCTTATTACCCCATTTGAGAGTATTGAAACTGGTAAAATTTACCTTGTACACAGAATTTTTTTCTGTTTTATGAGTGGCTTTTGCCCCAATTCCAATTTCAAAACTGGAAAACCAGTCAAAAGCCATCTGTAAATGGGGCAGAAGTGCTAGTGTTGTGAACAATTTACTCAATTTATATGTCCTTTGCTCAATATATTTATTAAAAATAAAAAATAGCACGTTTTTGAAAAAATTTTGGAAAGAAGTAGATTAACAATTTTTTTATTTGTTAAAATTTGACCCATTTCTCAATATCCTATATTTGTGCCCAATTTTCCAGTTTTGGTAGAGAGCTGATAGTAGAGTGTCCCAACAGCCTAACTATTTTTGGAACTTTAGTTTATTATATTTGAGGCTGCAAGTATTTCTACTCTAATCCAGGAATTTATTTTTCCTACATATTACTGGAATCTCAAAGCAAGCACTTTTATTGACAGTAAGATAGGAAGTAAATCATCTTGCATTAATCTTGCAGTTCCAAAAATGAAGGGAAACTCTATTCACAGCTCAAAAGGTAGATAAATTCCATGCCAGCTCTAACAAGCTGCAACTAAAAGAGCTTTCCCACCATTTATGAAGCCATGAAATTTCTGCTAGATTTATTTACTATTACTGTTAGGGATGGTACATGATTGGGCTTCAAGATTGCAGTAATAAGAAGGAAAATTCCAATCATTTACTGTCATGTATCTAATTTTAGAATAACAACAAATACATTCTAATAAACATTACAAATAATTTAACATGTAAATTACCATCATGCCATGCAAAGGAAGATGTGTTGGATTGTAGTAATTTATATTTTCATTTCATCATTCTGCATGGTGTGCCAAAATAAGTTGAAAAAAAATGTGTCATGCAGCTAAATATTTTATACTTCAATGTTGGTTGCACAAATGCATGCAAGTATAGATTCCTAGAGTCTAGCTTTGTTTCCTTGAACTTCCTTAGGGTTTGTTCACAAAGCTAGGGCATTTCTGACTCAATTTGCTGTTCTGCTCCATTTTGGCAGCCACACTTGAATAATGTCTTTCTCTGCCTATTGAGTAGATGAATTATGCATGTATATATAAATATATATCCTGATTACACAACAACATGCCATAACAATGCCTTCCGTTTGTTGAAAAAAAATGAAATATTCAGAAAAGTAATGAGCAGTGACTGATTTTATATCAGTGAAAACATTCTAGAATGGTTAGGTGAATAAAATGAAAATTTAAAAAGCCTACCCTAACATTCTTGGCAAAGAGTTTGCAAGGTCTTAGGTCTATTACATTACTATTTAATTACGTGGAAACATATTAACTAAGCCAGCCATATTAGAAGCAAAGCACATTACTTTAGTTGTCTAGCTGTTGAGGAATAAATGTGTGAAATTCATTAAAGCATTATATATATATATATATACAGTCAAACGGGGTTGTAAGGGACAGGCGGGGTAAACTGTGACAGTCCTCTGACATTTGTAGAAATATTGAAGCAACTAAAAATAGTGGCTTAAAGTTCAACATTTTTCTTATCTATGTAGTAAGAAAGAAAGAAATGTTAAGAAATCATACATTTACTACCTCTAAAAAATCCTCTGAAAAAAGTGTAGGAAGGGAAATTTTGGAAAATTTTTGCTGTATTAAAAAAAGTTAACTTGCATTAAAGTTACACATAGGTGTTGGCTTGAAAACAAGATTGACAGAATTTGTGTAGTTCATTAAAAAAATATGGGGTATTACAGGACATCCCCTGGGGTATATAATACAAGACACCACTAAAAATAAATTTACAGTAGAACTTTGGTTAGCAAAGGCTCCAATAATGAAAAATCAATTAACATCAAAGAATTTTGATTGCATTTACCTTGCTCACCAAAAAATCTTCACTTGATGCAAAACTAATGCATCAAAGATCATAACAAAATTTGCATAAAATGTAATAGCTAGAATTGTGCACCAGGCAACATACAATGAAAAGTAATTAACCTAAACTATGATTTATTTCTCCAAAAATATGATGGTTGACACTAAACTATACCTTACTGTTTCATGTATGTATTTTACCATCTTATTTTGTTATAGTGACTTCACTTGACCTGATTGAAATGGTGCAAAATTACAAGCCCAGTCCTGTAAGCTTACAGATACAGAAGAAATGCTATACAGCTGCTGATATGAAGCTTGCAATTGACAAGGTCATTGTCAATGCTCAATGGCATGTCCATGTATACAAATAGCATGTGTAATTTTTTTATATGCCAAATGATAGCCTTCGCAAATACTTTTAAAAGGAGCCCAAACCCATTTATGAAAGGTTTCATGTAAGAAATTATTACCAAAAAAAAAAAAACACTCAAACCCATCCCTTATTACCCTGTTTGAAGGTATATATAAATGTTTTTTTTTCAAAAGGGCTTATCAAGACTCTCACAAGCAATAGCAGTGTAGTTAGAAATTCATGTTTAATCTATGTTCATGTTTTCTGCATCAATTCATGTAACTTCACAACTTATGATCATTCAATGAGATATGCTTCATAATCTTGGCATTCATCAAAATATATTAGTTGTACCTGAAAGAGAATCAAGGTACATAGGTATTTATTTCAAAAAATATAATTTGCCAGATGGAAACAGAACTTCTGCCTTCACATTAATTCTTGCATAAGAAACCAGGTTTTCACTGAAAACCATAAAAGCAGCCTTATTTGAAGCTTGTTTGGAAAAACATGTCTCATTTTTTCTTCTTTTTTTAATCAAAATACTTATGAGTTAGTTGCAAGACAAAATGTTAATCTTAAAATATTGAATTTTTTTTATTTATCATGTGATCAATTTATTAAATGCAAGGTGGCAACTGAGCATTAGTCAGAACCTGCAAATTATGCTTGAGTAATTGGCAATAATAATATATTGTTGTGGTATTTTGTCCAAATCGAAATACTTTCTCTACTAATTTGGAAAAAATTAGTGAAAATTGTTGTAGAAACTTATAACAAAGATTTTTTGCAGGCCGATGAACTCACAAGAGAAAGTGGCACGAGCACAGGAATTGGTTGAATGTCAAGGAGGGAAGAATATTGTCGTCAAAGAGAGACCACTTGACAAGTTCACTAAGACGTTTAGCTTCGATAAAGTCTTTGGGGCTGACTCAAAGCAGGTATATAATTTTTCTATGTTAAGTGATTTGTAAAATTTTAATGTTTTCATTTAATTTACAAGTGTCAATTTTCGAGAACATTTAAATTTAACTTATGTTTTATGATAAATTGAAATTCTGTAATATAATTAACTGGTATTTATGGCAAGTATAGGTGAAAACTATGCACTGCATTTCTCAGCCATTCACTTTGCAATATCTGAAGCATGTCAAGATCCAAGGTGTCTTGCAGCAAAATGCAAGGAAACTTGAAACATAAATTATGATACTTGATACAAAATAATTAACTTACTGAATAGTTTTATTAATCTATACATTCTATTGTCAGGGTCTACTCAACAAAGTACAATCTTGATGGAAAGTTAAATCACTTTTGAATTTCAGCTTGATGTGTACAAGTGCGTGGCTAAGCCGCTAGTGGATGAAGTTCTGAATGGGTTCAACTGCACAATTTTTGCCTATGGTCAAACAGGCACTGGGAAGACCTTCACTATGGAAGGAGAGCGCACTGAGAACTGTACCAGCTGGCAGGAAGTGAGTGCATTTTAATTTGTTTCCTTAATCCTTTGACAGCATTTAATAAGTTATGTTGGTTCTCATCTTTAGAAATTTTTTACAACACTTCTCTTTAACTTCACTTCTTGTTGTTTATTTGTCTGCTACAAGTCTTTCAATCAATATTTAACACACTTCTGCCTATCCAATCGATCTGAAATTTTGTATACTTGCGTGTAAAGTTGGAGACAATGCATGAATCAATTGACAGAATAAATAATTTTGCAAATTTAATAATTTTATTTTTTATATTGAAAAAGTGAAAAAAAAATTTTTGTCTGCTACATCTCTTATAATCAACATTTAACACACTTCTACCTGTCTGATCGATCTGAAATTTTGCACACATGCGTAAAGTGGGAGACATTGCATGTATCAATTGACGGAATAAATAATTTGGAAAAATTTTATTTATTTTAGCTATGAGAGACTGCTGCTTCTAAGCAATGGACAACAATTTCTTTTGAAATACTGAATATATTAGATGGTTTTATTCATTTATTTATGTGTATGTCCAATTGTCTGCAATAAAAACAGTGTTTTTTATCATGCTTCTCCCTGTCATATTTTCTGAAAAATTTTGTGTGCAGGACCCATTAGCAGGAGTCATCCCACGGTGTGTGAACCACCTGTTTGACGAGCTAAGAATCCAGAAACTTGAGTTCACAATGCGCGTGAGCTTCCTTGAGCTGTACAATGAGGAACTCTTCGATTTGTTATCTGCTCAAGATGACCTCTCTAGATTGAGGTATATTTATACATACTTATTCAGAATTAATGTTGAGATAGTGGGGTACAGTGGAAAATGGTGGACAGTGTGCCACGTCAATTATTTTATACATTAAAGCAGTTGAGGGTAGTAACAACATGCAAGTCGGTGCATTTATTAACATGGCAGAGAAATATATTATTCTCTTCAATAAATTGAATAATTAACATATTATGCACTCCATCCTCCACTGTAACCATATTTTACATTTTTTTTACATGTAACCATATTCATGTAACCATATATTTTACATGAGATGTGCATATTCATTCAAATTATATATCTTTCTAGAGTTTAATTTGTCTTCCTCTCATTGGCATTGTACTTCTGGTACATCCTTCATACAGACCCTCATCTTGAAAATTTTGCCTTGTATTGATAATCCTAGTTTAATTTGTCTTTTATTCACCTCATTGTCTCTTTTTAGCTTATAATACCTCTAAATCTAATTAAATGAATTTTTTGGAATTTTAATAAAACTTGCCATTGAAATTTGATGACTTGCCAATCAATGAATGTAGTTAACCTTTTGCAGATTATATGAAGACTCCTCTCGAAAGGGCTCGTGCATCATTCAAGGCCTGGAGGAGGTGCTGGTGCGTTCCAAGAATGATGTGTACAATGTGATAGAGAAAGGCTCAGCTAAGCGCCAAACTGCCGCAACACTCATGAATGCACACTCCAGCCGCTCTCACACAGTATTCACTGTCACTGTTCACATCAAAGAGAATACACTCGATGGAGATGAATTACTGAAGGTAATACTAAAGTTGTTTGATTAATATTTGAAGGTTCTTCTCCTATATTAAAAATTGTTTTCAATTTATGTAAGGTTTTGTTATCTTCAAATTTTAATTGACTAAACCTTGTGTTTTCATTTTTCTCCATAATTAATTTTATCATCAATTCCTCATGATCAGACTGGCAAACTTCATCTCGTTGACTTGGCCGGTTCTGAGAACATAGGGCGGTCGGGAGCTGTGGACAAGAGGGCGAGGGAGGCAGGCAACATCAATCAGTCTCTGCTGACCCTTGGCCGCGTCATCACGTCTCTAGTTGAGCAGGCGCCTCATGTGCCATACCGGTGACTTAAGTTCAGCAGCCTCAGCTTGGTTCAATAATTTTCTTATGATATTTGATGCATTAATCCAGTATTCTTCAACTTAGTACATTTAGTCCTTATGCATTGAATTGTATTAAATTATCCTTTTTGTCAACAGGGAGTCAAAACTAACGAGGCTCCTTCAAGACGCGCTTGGTGGCAAGACAAAGACCTCAATCATTGCTACTATCTCGCCTGCATCCACAAACCTCGAAGAAACTCTCTCAACCCTCGACTACGCGCACCGAGCCAAGAACATCACTAACAAACCCGAAGTGAACCAGAAGCTTAACAAGAAAGAGCTCATTGGGGTAGGTTTTCCTTCTATATCATAAATCCTGTCGCACCAAACGATGGCTTTAATCTACTTGTCATTATATACATAGATGTTTTTATGAATTGATTTTGATGTTTACAATATATTTTATGACATGCGTGGTGTTAACTTTGGTACATTGAAAATACCCATAAGTCCGTGACTGAAAATTCTTGCATTTTACTGTCATTTTTAATGTAAATGGTCCTAAATAAATATAAATATATATTCATATTGACATCAATATATATATATGGTCATATATATTGATATAGTCATATTGAGTCATAATTCATTGAAAGTATATGCAGAGCAAATTGATGTTTACGTGAACTTGAATACCTGAATGGATTAATAAAGAAACCATGCATTTTTATTTCAGGAATACACGGTAGAAATAGACAGACTGCGTCGCGATCTCATGGCCATGCGCGAGAAAAACGGCGTCTATTTGGCCAATGAAAACTACCAGGACATGGTCAATACAATGGAGCAGCAGACCAAAGAGATCGGCGAGAAAATATCCCAGATACGCACTCTTGAGGAAGATTTGGAGAGGAAAACGGTTAGTTGTTATACTCGGAGGTTGGTCTTGCACCGCATGTGAAAATTGCCAGAACTACTTAGCAGAGCTAGTGAAAATTTGTGTTATCAGCTGTTGATGCATTTATCAACGTTCTTACCTACTTAGCATCTTCTGTTTTTTTATGGTGTCATTTATTTGATAATAGAATAAAATTGTAGGAAAATGCTTTACATTCTTGGTAGTATGTTAAGTAAACTGCCATGATTTCTCGAATTACTTCTCAGTCGCATCTCTTAATTTCATTGCAGGAGTTGTTTCTGGAGACGCAGAGGCTGCTAGACGACACCAGTGAGCGACTCTCTGTCACAGAGAACAAACTTGTAGGCACCAGACAGTCTCTGCGCAGCACTCAATCGCTACTTCACCACACTGCACAACAGCGGGATGAACAGAAGTCAGTTGTAGGATTTTATTACTTTTGGTGTGAACAGATGTGAGCTGTTGAATGTTTTAACCTACATTTACATACCATTTTCAATAGGTTCTTGAGAGTTACGAAGTAAATAAGCACTTTTTACCTATTAACTTGGTTTTCAATACTCCCATCCACTATTTGTGGATGAATTAGTGACGATTTTCAAGTTTTATTTAATGATATTCATATCATTAAAGCAAGTTCACTTCCTAGCAAGTTCACTCATGTTTGTCTATAGAATATTCCTTCAAACTTGCTACAGAAATGCTCAAAGCTATTTTTCTGTATCGTCAGGTACTTGGTGGAGGCCCATGAGAAGACCGAAGGCATCTTGCATGATCAAGCCCAAGCTCTCATCAGCGTGGCTGACACAACCACACAGCACATCGAACTCTTGCATGACAAGATTAGGCGTAAAAGGTCGGAAATTCTCTTATTTGCATCTTTATGTAATTTCTTATAATATCTGGGATTTTGAGAACGGCTCATTTTAATTGAATTTCTTTGCATTCTCTTTCCAGATGTTTTAATTATAAATATTAATGACATGTGACGAGTCTAGCAGAAATTTTGTGTTCTTAACTTGAATCTTGAGACTACGTAACAAATTTCGAAACACCAGTTTCATTTAAATCAGTGCTGCGAACCGAGTGCTTGCCTTTAATCTTCAGTTTGCAGATACCAACGGTTTTTAAAAAGACGTGTACGAATCTGATGACCTCAATATGACTAGGAATTTTGTTTAACTGAGCAGTGAGGTGGAGGAGCATAACCTGACGGCGAGTGAAATGTTCAAGAACGACTTCTGTGGCCGCATGAGTGCAATGGTTGCATCGCTAACGGCGGTGAAGCAGCAGCACACGGAACACATGCAGCAGTTCTCTCAGCAACAAGGTCTGGTTCCCTGCTTACTCCCTACAAACTTTCATTTGTCACGATCTCATGTGTTTAACTGTCTCAGGTCAAGACGAGGATATGAGTTCTGGGAGTATTCTCCAAGTTGAACGTACTTATTTCCCCTGGCTCTTTCTAAAAAAATACTGTAGATGAACCTCAAATTTTTTACATGAGCGGGAAACTCATTATTTTTTTATGCTTCAAACAACTACCATTATCTCAAACATGGCTCACTGTTATGACTAAAGACCAATCAAACCCATTTCCATACAACATCACATATCTGTAGACTACGGTGCGCTCTTTAAAGCAGTGCAGGCCAGATAGAAGCGGGTTATGACCATCACGTTTGAGGACATTCCCACGTGGCAAATTCCCATGAGCAGTTTCTGTCCAGATCAAAACCTCCCACTGAAACCCGCATTACAAGCAACCGCGATTAAAAACCTTATCTTGAACCACACAACTACAAAGCATGTAAATTCGACACAGATCTGCACTGACAGCTCAAAGTCGGATGGCGTAGTGGGGTGTGCGTGTGTGACCGAAACAACATCAATATCAAGATGACTTGAGTCCCAACGCATCAATTTACACTGCGGAGCTATCTGGTTTCTTCTGTGCCCTGGCACTTATAGACGATTACCCTGGACATGTCTTTGCGATATTTATTGACTCCAAAAGTGTAGTGCAAGCCCTGAGAACATACAACAGCAAACATCCCATCATTGGGGAAATCCTGTCCAATCTTGTGCGCCTGGCGGAGCCGGGGAGAACGGTAAGTGCGAGTATCTGCTGGTGGGTCCCGGGACACATAAGAGTGCGGGGCAAAGACAGGGCGGATGAGGCGTCGGTGGGCGCTGCTTCGTTGGACATGGCCATTTATAGAGAGGACGTCCCATGCCTAGAACACTACCCTTTCATCAGGGCTAGCATTCGCCATATATGGCGCAAGCTTTGGCTGAACACACGAGACATAAAATGAGAACAATCGACGACAGTGCATCAGCATGGAGCTCATTGTCCTAGAGATCCTGACAGATGGAGGTAGCGCTGTGTAGACTGAGGATTGGTCATACGCAACTCACCACAGATACTTTATTGAGCGCCACCCTACGCCATGCTGTGACGACTGCCTCGTACCCTTGACAGTACTGGATGTCTTGGCGGATAGCAGAGTGTCCTAGCCACTGCTACATTGACTGAACGGTTACCCCAGCTCTTGATCAAGAGGAGATGCTTGCCAGAATGCTAATGGAGGACCAGCGTAGCAACTCCAGAACTGACAACCTTAAACGATACTTGATAGAATGCTACCTGCTACCAGTGATCTAGCATGATCCCATGATGACACCGCCTCTCGGCTGTATGCCACAAAACTGTATTTGCACCTAGCCCATCAACGACCGAACCCCACTTAGTTGATATTGGAGCTTGTGCATAAAGCCTGAGCGGCCCTCGCTCCGTGAGCAGAGAATCTACCGCCCAACCCCTTCCGCTAAATGGATTAGGCCCAAGCCTGGAGACAGAAGAGATCAAATACCTTTGACGTAGCTGAAGATCTCAACTCCGGCGTGAAATAGATAGCTATCTGAACTCTGAAGCGCTAGTAAACTTTCTACTACTACTTACATTTCTAATTATTGAGAATAAATGTGATTTTATTTCTAAATTGGCTGTTCAGAGACGTATTCTAGTTAGTCACTGTCTCACTGACTGTAAATGTCACCCCTTCATTACAGGCTCTATGATGTCGGATCTTGGGGTCAGCTTAGTCGTTTCAGCAACCAAACTTGACTCGGTCCGCTCCTCCATCTCAGGCCTGCTCACCTCCTTCGTGAACCTGGCAACACAAGCTGTGAGCATTAGTCTATTTCCACACTTGACAACACTTTTTAAACTACATGAGGTCCGTTACTTGTTTATCCTCATTGAAATTATTTTGATGATCTCTGAGGTTCCTGAAATGTGTAGAGTAGTCAAGTATTTTTGTCACAGATTCTTGATGGAGAGTCGATGAACAAGCAGCACGTGGATGTTGCGGAGCGTGCTTGCAGTGTCGCATGCTCCGACCTCACTCGACGCTTGCAGGCAGAGCTCCTGCCTCTGCAGTCCACAATCCTGGAGCTGAACTCTACTCTCAGTGGCACTCTTTCTGAGATGACTCAGACCATCATTTCCAAGGTATGGATGCGTCTGGTGCTTGGATTGTAGCATAGATGCCTTTCTCTCTGGGCCTTTCATCTGTTATGTTATAAATTCTCATGCAGATGTTGGTTTCTGGAACTTGAAATGACAGCTCCTGTAAGTGCATCGCGGTTAGTGATGGCGCAGTCACTTGTCAAGCTTCAACCTTGCATGCAGGTTCCAATGGCATCGCTTAGGAACTAACTTTTAAAGAGTTGGTCAATTGAAGTGCAATTGTTGTATCTAAAATGCGACTTCGTAACATAGGACCAGTCTCCTGGTGTGCATAGGGCTCAAGCCCAGACTAGTAACTAGTCTTACCTTATTCCTTATAGACTAGTAACTAGGCTATCCTTAACTATCAACTACTATCCCTACCTTATAGACTAGTAACTAGTCTTACCTTAAGACTAGACTAGTCTTACCTTGTTCCAGCTACCATATTTCCACATCCTTGCGACTCCTAACTGTCACATAGACTACTGCGTCTCAGAATAGTTTCTCCAAAATGGACTGGGGACAATGGGACAAGACGGGAACTTTTTCGCTGATTTTATCTAAATTTTACTGCCAAACTACTAGGCTGTTGAATTAATGGGTTAATGGGCGGAGGAGGCGATGTAAACGGAAAAAATTGCTCATAGGCCTTCCTCTAATAACGTATCGTACTTGATACACTCCACATAGTAACGTGTTGCGCGTTTCAAATGTCGCATTGGCATCTGCACGGGTCGGTAACGCAGCGTCTAGTATCATTAGTTTACAAGCCCAGTTACGGCAACCAAATGTTAATGGGAGTTAACGCCTGTAGAAATTTGGTTGAAATCGCAATCTAAAAATTAATTTGAAATCTATGACATTATATGGTTTCGAAATCAATTAAAATTGTGACCAAGATAAATGTAAAGTGTTGAAAACAAAAATATTTTAAATTTATAATACATAGCTAATATTACTTGTAAACAAATATAAACTTCCATGATTTTTTTTTTTCGATGCGTTTTATATCAAGTAATGACAATAAAAAAAAATGTTGTGCAGATTTTGACAGACTTCAAACCTAACACAAGTTAGTTATAAGTGGAACGTTCTTCATTCTCAGCGGCGGTTATTTAGTTTCGTTATCTATTTATGACCGTCATTAGCTAATAGCCCCTGAAGCCGTCAGTACCTCTCGACACGCTGTTACTAGACCGGTAGTTGTCGGCGGTTGCTACTAGCCAGCGAAATGACTGCCGCCTCAGCTGACCCCATGTGAACGCAAATTAGTATGCAAAGTACCCATGCGTAATGCAAATTAGTGATATCATCTTTCGTAGTGAAATACTTGTAATGCAGAAAAAGGCAAAAAAAATTCCGACAAAACCTTTGGCAGAATACCGAAATTAATTTTATTATTAACGATTTATCAAATAGTGCGTCGCGTTATGAATTTTTATGTCTCGTAAAAAATTTTAATTTCGAGAACGTTTGAAGCTCCTAATTTATACGGAAAATCTTGTCTCGTTTTATCTCTTAATCTCTAATCGGAACAAAGCTTCTTGTCTCGTTTAGAATAAAAAAACGTACCTACCAAACGTAGTAGTCTAACGTGTAACGACATCTAATTATTAGTTAAAACGCTTTTTTTAGTGGATTGTAATTCTACCTCGAACTGCGATTCAATGTGCGATTATCCCAAAGGTAGAAGAGTGGCAGGCCTTGTGCGAGGACGAGGCTAACAAACAATTACAAGACTCGAACTCCAATCAGCATCTCTTGGAGCAGCAGTTGGCCGAAATCTCAGCTCTTGTTCTGCAGCACACCTCGGCCATGCAACGCGTCGCAGACGGCACAAAGTCTCAAACCGAGGTCAGATTCTTGTTCTTTGTTATGCTCATTCATTAACCTTCTACACCAAAAATGTATTGTGCATTTGTTGAAGGCTTAATTAGAAGTCGCGGTAACCAATTTTTTTCATTCAGAGCGTGGATGACACTTTGGAGCGTATGATTGCTGAGCTGCAAGCCTTGAGAGTCCGTAATCAAGAGCAAACGGCATCCTTACATAAGGACCTGCAAGAAAGCCAAGTTGTGGAGCAAAAATTTGCTCATAAGATAACGGATCTGAACAACCAGGTGCAGTTTTAGTTTTAATACGCCATCGTTTCATTGACAACTTCTTGATTTTGTAGCAAATATCAAGTGGATTATTTGAACATCAAATGTCTGAGCTCAACTTTGTTGTTTGGCAGCGACGGCCGTATATGTCAAATTGCTATATTTTCAAGGTTATGGGCTCTGCAAAAGCCGGAGTTTCTCGAACCACTGGCTTCATCGCAGCGACTCGCTTGCTCCGCGGCAGTGCTGTGGAGCGACTCAACTCATTACACCAACAGGTGCGGTAACCTCTCAAATTTGACGCTCTTTCTGTTATTTTTCTCTTCGTGCTCATCGTCGTAGGTATATCATGCCTGCGTGCCAGATTCCCTGTATTCATGTGGACATGAGTCATGTTAGATACCGTAGAAGAGATATGTATAAATTTTATAAAATTAAAATGTGGTTTTATATTATTTTCACAGACCGCTAGTTACTCGCAAGAAGTTTCGGTCAACACGGAGATGCTCGCCGAAAAACTTCATGAACATACACAAGCCGGAACGACAGCGTGGACGTCTTCTACTGAGGAGCACAAGCAGAAACTCTCATTAGGCTTAAAACACTCTTCCGATATGCGAGGTCAACTTCTTGATCTACACAAGGTAAGTGTAGCGATTATATTGTATACTTCCTCTAAGCTGGCGACGTTTTTAGCTTCTTACTGTTAGCTAAGTTTACCTTTGTTATAAATCTCGCAAAATAAAATGTCCTTGGAAATTTGTGTGCGGAATCAGAGTTTATTTCTTGTCACTATGATATTTGCTATTTGTGAAAAAAACAAGGCCTATAGGCTACATTTCCTCATTACATATGTTTATTTAAATAATTTCGAATAACCCATGTCAGAGATCAATAACTTAATTTGTCAGGTGGTCGAAGAGAGGGAGTTGGCAGACTTGAAGAACGACCTCGTGTGTGTGAACAACGTCGGGGAGCAGTTGCAGCAGAACAGCTCTGTGCTTCACCAGGGTGCAATGCAGCTCGCCACTGAACATACCAAGCAGCTTGCTCAGCACTGCTGCGAACTTGAAGCCAGGCAGATCCAGGTCCAGGAGTTCGTCTCCGAGAAACTCTCCAGTGACGTTCCAACAGGTGCGCCTGTTATTTTTAAAAATGTTTTTATTTTTTGAAGCTTAACACATTTATTGCGGCACGACCCAGAAGTAGGTCGTACCACCGCTATGAAATACGCCCTGAATACGACATAGCCGCACGTAACGTATTAAACCAATTCAATATGGGACACTTATAAAATTAATTGTAGTTATCCTTTTGTGTATATGCAGAAATCCTTATAAAGAGTACATTGTGGAACAACTAGTATAAATGATCTTAAATAAGCGGTTGACGGTTGCGCAGGTCAAACGCCTGGTCGTCAGCAGTATGCGTTCTCTCGATCCCTGGCGGCCACGTCGCCACATCAAAGGCTCCTGCTGAGACACCGCGCTGCTCACTCAACGCAAGTTGCTGCCAGACTGCCACTGCCATCGGATCTTCCTAATGAGGTTTCTAATTAAGCCCTAGACCCTACTAATCTATTAATTACATTTGCTAAAGGGTAAAAGCATACTTTTGGGCGTATTGTGGAAATTGGTTAAACGTCATTGGCGAAGACTTACCATACTTTCAGGCAAGTTTTCCGACATTGAGATAGCAACTGAACAGACCCTGCTTATCAAAGCGAGATCTCTCAATTGGCCTGCGAGACTTTTGTACGTTTTTGCTAAATTTTTTCCGATGCCGTTATGATTCATCATCTGAAGCTGCCATACTGACTCAAAATGTAATACCAGCCTCTCGTTACTTGAGCATTTAATGCAGTGTGCTTGATCATCTCAGTGTTCTGAGAGTTCTTAGGAACTGAAATTTACGTTCTAGCATTTGACGATTTTCTGTTTGTCGTTTCTAAACGTTACTCTTGAACAGCTGGATGGTAGCAGCTTCTCTTCCCTGGACAACTCTACTGAGGATCCCAGCCTCACAGACACGGGCTGCTACACCAGCGATGTCGACTCTCCCTTGGAGCTGATGACCCGAGCCACATCCCTCTGCGACATACGGGCTGATGAAGACGTAAATCTGTTACTAATTTTAATCATTAATTTTGTTCAATTTCACATTTCCTTTCTTTTTGTTCATGTTTTTTTTACATCCAATAAAGCCTTGTAATTGTAATTATACATGTGCTTAAGAAATTATTTGTAATATTTTGTTTGCGGTACCTTGTCTTTTACAGATTTTATACCGGAAGTGTGTATAGTGGTGAAAAACTATTTTTTGTCACAACTTTGAGCATCTTGCTGAATAACTGCATTTTACTGCTTCTCTAAACAATGTTCATGTTTACTGGAGCAGAAGGGAGGCATGTTTGCGGTGCCCGCAGCGCCTGTTGTAGGGCGTCAGAGCTCGCGCGAAGACCCCCTGCTTCAGAAGGCGCCCACGGGCATCCCAGCACCCGTCCGGAGTGCCTCGTCTGCCCCAGTGTCGCGATCGTCCTCCACCTCTTCAATCAGCGACTGCAAGGTTCGACTAGCTCAGATAAACCTGTTTTCAGTATAAGATATCTCCATGTGCGCTCTTGAAAGGGATGGCTATAGCCCTCACTTATGTTTAGAGTTTTTGAATTCAATTTTACAAATTCGATTACAATTCAATTACAAAGCAATGAATTTTTTAATTCAATTACAAAGCAATGTCAGCTTGTCGTGTCCAACTTCTAAGTTTTTATGGCTCGACACAAGTTGGCATTTCTATTTATTTCAAGACTTATTTTGGTCTATCAAGTATGTGATCCAAGAATTAGCGATTGATGACTTTTGTGCAGGAAAACCAATGGTTTGGCAAAAGTAAGAAAGATCAGACACAGCAGCGAGGTGATCAACGCCGCCCGACTAATCAGCTAAATTCAGCCAAGCTTGCAGCCGAGGTACCTCAAGCCAGAAGCAGACGCGTGCTTGGATCTCACAACTGAAGGCTACCGACGTGTTCATCATACTTACTTTCTTAGCAACTACGAATTCGTTTGAAGCTTCAGCGTTCATCTTTGATTTGGATTAGGTGTAATTTGTAGTGTAGCTATAATGTATTAGTTTAATCAAGGTTCATTGATAAAATTAGATTTATAACTGGAACCAAATATCATTTTACTTTTTGTGCGCTTTTACACGTGAAATTATCCTATTGGAAACAAGCGACTTTAGTTGTGCGTTTCACGGAATATTTTAATACTTCGTTTTGAGATCCCGGCTAATCCTTGAAGCGTTTCTCTCTTTGCACGCATTGTAGAAAATGTATTTGAAGAGAGAAGCAAGTGGCGCGATTTTTATTAGATGACTTCTCCTTTAGTAACGACTTGTAAATATTGTAGCTTCTTGAAGTACACTCTTTTCGCCGAGATTTCGCTATCTTTGCAAGAGCGACTACTGGATAAATTTTTTTGACGGAGTATGGTTCATATATTTCTTTATTAGTGGTACCTGGCATGAAGATTTATTTTCAAAAAATTTTGCCGACTCCATATGCATTAATAAACTAATATTTCGTTATTTTCTATAAGGGACATGGAAAGATTTTTTATGGCGAGTTTTGTAAACCTTGGATGTCCTCACGCATCTCCTGTGCAGAGATTTATTAAACCAGGGTTTTGTATTTCTGACAGAAGTGTTCAACTTAATTTTAAGTATATATTTTTAGTTTGATGTGATCAATTAAATACTTCACTGTAAAGTCTTATTCCGCTGACAGCATAGGACGATGTTATCGAAAATTTTCTCGAGTTAAGGTTAAGGTCAATTCATAATTTGGATTGTACTTATTCTCTCTTTCTTGTTTTTTCTGTATTAAATCCTATACGGGCTTGTCATTGACATAGTTTTACTGTCAGTTTGGTGTTATTGATTTCTGAAATACAAAGTGAAAATCTGTTTATTTTCTAGTTTCGCGTTTTATGTTGAGTAATATCGAGTGTTATGAGTGAAAGGGCGCAACATCTTTTATGTGGGGTCGTGGTGTTGTATTAAATTCGGGAACATTTTTGAACCACTATAATGGATAGGTTCCTTGGTGAAGAAAACTATTGCGCGTCGCTTTCTACCAACGAGGTTTAACTTCGTTTTGTCAACTAACTAACGAGGTTTAACGTTTGTTTAGTCAAAGATGTCAACTGACCAGCAAACTTTCAAACTATATGCGAAACTTTCGACTTCATTGAGACTAAATTCTGGAAGTAATGTCTACCCAAGTAAAATTTTCCGCTACTCAAGCACGCTCGGTTCATACGTCTTTCGACGCTCAACGGCTAAAGGCCGCGGTTGTAGTGCCAGGCTGCTAGTTCTGTTGAAGTATCGACTGTAAATTATCCCATTAGACTTCCCTAAACTTATTTCAATGAGTAAAATTTTGGTATGGATTGAATTTTAATGGACAAGAAATTTAATAGAAGGTAGTGTGACAGTTAAACCGGTGCTGTCAATATGACATCAACCACAACAATTCAATTTCTAGGTTACTGTCTTCATAGGGTTGGCATTCAGAATAAGGAGCTTCGAAGAAGATTCTTCCAACTTCAGAAAATTGAAGGTAAGTTCCAAACGAAATTTCATGTAAATAAAAAGGTTTATTGTCTTATCAGCGATACATTAATAATGCCCGTAATGTTATGAAGCCATTATTTTAAACTAAGGTATGAATTAACTTGTGAAGTTGAACTTCACCATTAATATCTACCTATTCTGGTATTCAAAACTAGTATATAGAAATGCTGAAAGATTTCTAAGGTTAAAAAATACAAGGGGCGCATATGTTCTCTTTCCCCAAACTATCTCGTATGTTAGTTCCGCGCTCGTCTTCAAGTCTTCAACTGCTTAGATGAAGCTAAGAATGAAAAGTTATGCGAGTAGATTTTACTTCTAGTGATGAATGCAATTATATGTTCTATCGCGGTACTTTTATAGTTTGATTACCATGTCCCGTAAATCATAATGCATTACCTTGAGGCCTTACTTGGACCAATCAACGAAATTTCAACGAGTATAATGCCCCTGCCGTAAGCGAGTGTTGAACACTGTCCCGATTTCCGATGTTCCGAGTCCCGCTGCTCAAGCGAATTCCGCCTCCAGCCTAATCAACGTATTATCACGCATCAAAAATCCCAAGACAAATCAGCTTATTTTAGTATGGAGATGAAATCCCTGGAAAACACGTTATAGTTGAAGTTCCTGGTGTGTCGTCAATTGGATGATAGCAACGTAGAACCACACAGGTTTAAGCATTTAGTTCATTGTCCTGTTCAGATAACGTAAGGAAGTTCGCCATTTTGAACGAAATAGTTTGGGCAGGCCACTAATGTCGCCATCACATGCAGATGAACGGTAATATTGAAAAAATTTAGTTGTTTCTGGACCTGATAATTATTACATTCAATATTATCAGAAATTAATAAGCCAATGGGGCTATCAACTATTTTTTACAAGGAAGTCAGCTGTTGTTCATTTGCAAGTGTTATTAATTTGTTAGGTAAACTATCCCTTTGCTTACAATGAGCCGGCGCTGGCTTATTCTCTGTGTGCAGAGCTTTCTTTCTGTGGACGAACGGGAAGTTTGGCGGTATGATCTACTATTGCTGCTGGGAAGTTGACAAATGAAAATCGTGACAGGAGTTGCATTACCGACCAATCTCTAGAAAAAGGAATTAACGTAGAAGTTGGTTGCCGATTACCGGCTATATTTTTTGTAAAACATAACATAGCGAAGTCGGTGTGGCCTGTCGCCGATTCTTGTCATTTCCGTTACTTGTTCACAGAAGTGAGAAGATCCAAATTCATGTCCTTTGACCGGAAATTTTCAAGACTGACGATAGTTTGAAATAGCTACTATACTTCCACTGGGTTCGATGTGGTGCTAGGCATTTCAAGTCTGAACATATATTTTTCCATAGCTTTATCTAGTCTGTTCTTGAACGCGTTTATACTCGGAGTGTCAACGATATAATCGGGTAGGCTGTTCCACATGTCGGTGATTCGAAGCGAGAAGAAATGTTGTCAAGTAGATAAGTTGCAACGCAGTTTTTAGCGCATTTTGCAATTTATGGAAAAAAGGCGCCATTGTGCACGTCATGTCCGTCCGTCTGTCTGTCTGTCCGTCCCTGACCTCACGTTTTCGTCGGCGAGAAAATGCGCTCTGTCACTCACTGCAGTGAGTACTGAGTTATATTTTTTTAGTTTATAGTCGTGGCCCCTGGTGTTGGTTCTTGTTTCAAATTCTAGTAATCCTTATTTCACGCTGTTGCTCTTGGGGCAGAGGGTATTGCGTTTGTCGGTCGTATTGCTGTGGTGTTTGTTGCGCAATTGGAGGTTGATATTGTTCTCCTGCAAAATTTAATTGATTTCGTAGAATGTGAAATTCAAATCCTGGTTGCTGATTTTGCGGAAGTAACTGTTGGGGTTGGAGCTCAATTTGATCTTTGGAACTCGCCTCAGCTGGCCACCTGGAGTAATAAAAGGAACGATATAAGATCTACGTTGAAATTTTCATTTGAGGCTCTATTAATATACGTGATTAGAAAATATAGAGTCATTGATATATTTAACAATTTATATCAACAAAAAATAGTACCACCCAAACTTTTGATTTACAATCAGAAACTTGGATGGCTCCAAATATTGTCTTCAGTTGTGTTCGAAAAATCACAAAACTGCAGATACACCTAAATATTCATTTATATCACCTAACGCACAACCACAGCAGCCGCAATACCTATCACATGTATTGTAGTATCTATTTGTTAAAGTAAATCTAAAATAGGAACTCACTTGTTCAGTAAGTTTCTTCCTGTCGTCAATAGTTTGTCATAAATGCTTTTCTGCGTTGAAACCGAGAGCTTCGGATTGAAGGGGTAAGACACGCCTTGTTTCTGCACCAAATTCTTCTGGTTGACGAACCCATTTGCATTTTTATTTGAAGCTGATAACTCACCAAAGGAATTCAACCCTGGAAGATAACCGAAGTTTTGGCGTTCAGTCAACTTGTTTGACTGCTGCCTAAGTGATAGGTAATCATCTTCTCCCGTGTCTTCGTTGGAGTTTCCAGGCTGGCTTATTCCTGCAATGACTGTTTTAGCTAAATAATAATTCCGAATTGCATTGTACAGGCCTGGATCTTGGGCAATTTTTTTTATTAGTCCAATGCAACAATTGGCCCCCACCATTTCCTTACACGATTGTGTTTCTACTTGCTCCGGAACTGACACACCACCATGCGAGCCGGGGTATGGCCGAGTTCCGTCACCAGATATCTCGACTATAGGAGGTAAATTTTCTAGATCGTCCGCGCCTGATGGCATTGGACCCGGAATTACTAAGCCTCCCTGACCACCAGGTGTTTTGCCACTAGAGATTTCTGGGCCCCCGGTTCCGACTGTTGGTTCAGGTAACGGATAAATACCTCCAGCTGGACCCCCAACTTGTCCCCCTGGACCCCCAACTTGTCCCCCTGGGCCCCCAACTTGGCCGCCTGGACCCCCAACTTGTCCCCCTGGACTCCCAACTTGTCCCCCTGGTACCACTTGTCCCCCTGGTACCACTTGTCCTCNCTCCTGGTCCAACTGATCCACCGTAATCTCCTGGTCCAACTGAACCACCGGGACCTCCGGGGCCAACTGAGCCACCATGACCTCCTGGTCCAACTGAACCACCGGGACCTCCGGGGCCAACTGAGCCACCGGGACCTCCTGGTCCAATTGAACCACCGGGACCTCCGGGGCCAACTGATCCACCGGGACCTCCTGGTCCAATTGAGCCACCGGGACCTCCTGGTCCAATTGAGCCACCGGGACCTCCTGGTCCAATTGAGCCACCGGGACCTCCTGGTCCAATTGAGCCTCCGGGACCTCCTGGTCCAACTGATCCACCCGGACCCTCGGGGCCAACTGATCCACCGGGACCTCCGGGCCCATGTGGTCTCCCAAGGTCTCCCCCCTGCGGGCAGGTACATGGTGCGGGGAAGAGAGGGTTGGGCGGGCGGTGGGACACGGCGGCGGGTCCAGGCACAGGGGCAGGCGTCTGGCCCGACGCCACGATATCCGCGCAGCTCCGCGGCAGCGGCCAGTCCTTCACGTCCACACTAGCGTCTGCAGGCGCGTCATCATTAGTACAATCACTGAACTATTAATGAATAGATGCAGTGTTTTTCAATTGTTAAAACGATTAATCTATAAATAAGAGAAACGATTAATCTATGAAGCATTTGATAAATTCTAGGAATTAGCCTCAAATAAGTGGTGCCAATGATATGGATGAATGACTAATTATTCACTTTCCTCATTTGAAGATAATCGTCGACATCGGTGAATTTTTTAAGGTGAGCGTAGAAACAATGGATAAAATCTAAATGGTGACTGTTTCTGCATGAATAAACCAATGGCTTTTAATAAATATACGGCAGCCTGAGCACCACGTAATATCTTTGAAGCAAACATTCAAGCTTTTGAACGAGCCCCAGAAGTTTATGATTGTACGCCGATTGTCGTGTTGTTGCAAGCGTTTTCAATCGTTCCAAGATCACATTACTCTTTCGAATTGCAATAACAATAGGAAACACGGAGTAGGTCGAGAAGCATTCAAAACATCTAACAACAACTTTATCTAACAACGTAAGATTTTTCGCCGAGTTATTTTTTTAATTTCACACTTGATCAAAACTCACTTCAGCAGCCGTACTGTCCAAACTTGCTGAAGTCCATGTATCGGCTAATTTCTCGTCTGTGATTGGTGGGTTTGACCTGATAAACCGTCTGTAATTGGCTGACGGATTTTCGAACTCATAACTATTTTTGGTAGTATCCCATGTGGCCGGACAATCCATAACAATGGATTTCCCCGCATGGAATCCGATTAAATTGACATGCATTACAATGCTATTAATTAAATTACAATTGGTGGGTTTGGCCTGATAAGCCGTCCGTAATTGGCTGACAGATTTACGAACTCATAACTATTTCTGGAAGTATCCCATGTGGCCGGACAATCCATAATAATGAATTTCTCAGCAGGGAATCCGATTAAAGTGACACGCTTTACAATGTTTTTAATTAAATTACTCTCCTCACCGAGCGTGCATTGCACCATCCACTGGTACATGCATATGGAGAGCGTGCTGTTGAACTGCAGCGTCGCCGGGCACTCCATGACGCAGCCGCGGCCGTGGGCACACGAGATGAAGAGACCGCAGTCCCGCGGGTGCGGGAAGAGACCGTTCGCCTGGGGGCAGTGCGGGTCTAGCGCGCCCGTCCGCTCGCTGGCCGGCAGGCTAGCGTAGGGGTGATAGCGCAGGTCATACAGGAACGGCGCTATCTTGTACAACGCAGGGTCGAACTTGGCTGCCTCACCAGCTGAGGGACCTATGAGACGTTTTTTAGTTGGTAAATTTACTTTACATAATTTCATATCGGTTCAGTTGTATCCATTAGACAGTCGTATAAGTTCATTGATATTGCATGTATTAAAATATCACAAGCAATCCTACGTGTTATTTCTACTTAATATATGAGGAGCTGGGATTCTTACTTCAACGATCCTAATAATTCAAATATGTTTATATTTTCGTACATTAACTGAACACTTTTTGTCACTGCTTGGGCTGCATTAATATTTCGTGTAGAGCGATGAACATAATAAATGATCGCAGAATCCCAGAGCTTATTGTGATCCCACAGCAGCCGAAGCGCACGTCCCTGTAATACCCCAACTTACCGTGCATGTGGGGGACCGAGGCACCTAAAGCACCTGCCGTCATCGCCCCCAGCAGCAGCCACCACCACTGCCGTTGCTGCATTGCTGCTCCCGCTGTATGTAGGGGCGCTTAGATGTGTAGCTGCACGATGAAGAGAAGATTAGGACTATTTATATTACGGGATTTTTGAGTAATCATTTCATCATATCGTGTTTATATATAGATTCGGGTATTACTGTTACCTGTCGGGTGTTGTCATTTATAGCAGGACTGAGGTAGCCTAGACTGGCGCACGTTGTCCGCGGAATAATGTTCGCAATAAAATTATTTCGTGCTCTTTAAATATTTGTGAGTCGTTCTTAGGGCTTCAAAGAGAATTATTTATATAGATATAGATAAGTTCGTCGGCTTTTTTTCTTGATTTTGATAACTTATAATAATTCTTCGTTACGAAGAATGCGCATGAAGGCGATAAGGAAAAACATAATTTATTTTATTCTTTTCAAATTCGGCACCGGGTTTTTTACTATTGTATCAGTGCTAAGATTTCCATATGCCAGTTCCTATAATAAGCATACAAGTGACAACCCCAAGCCCTTTGATCTAAGATACCTCCTGTGGCTCATGGTTCTGCTAGCCACATGCCCCGTGGGCGCCATTATGGCCAGCTTTATTGAGGATGCCAGCATTTATGCTCAGGAAAGACCGATTCAAGCGCCTGAAAGATATGTTCTCTCTGATTGCTGTGGATACAGGTTACAAAAAATACAGTCAACAATTGTCGCATTAAATTCTTAGTTTTCCTTTACCTCGCGTGCATACTCACAATACTCCTTCTCGGATAATTTGTCAAGAGTTTTTCTTAAATTCTCTTGAAAAAGTGAAATAGACGGTAAGATATAATAAATTTTATTAATCATGAATGATTCTGGTATTAAATGTTTTCGTGTCTTTCAAGGTCAGTAGCTGATAAACAATAACGAATTCAGTGTGAATTTTTTCACTCGATTCTTAATTCTATTCTCTATTTATTCCTTTGTATTCATACTTTATTCTTAGATGTTAACGATGTATAGGAATGTAAATTAGGCATGTAAAAGCATTCCTTCTCGCTGTTGGTCGCACATTCTTTGTCCCCCATGGCGCTGTGTAAGACGTTGGGTGATAATGCTATTATAAAAATTCATAGCTCGCGGCCATGAAAAAAATGCGGTGAAAATAATTCGACCATGGCAGTCACTTGATAAGAATAGACAAAATGCTGCTCTAATTTCTAGTTAATGGAACGTTTTAACGTGTGAATGTGGCCCAGAGCTTCGATACTGAAGATGCGCCGTGTCTTGACATAAATTAAACCTCGAGTGTCTGAAATTTTTCTGACAAGATAGGAACGCTGGACGCTTCTAATGTAAAGGAAGTGGCGATCTTCTTCGTCTAGCAATCAAGTTTTCTTTCTTAGTTGCGGATAAAGATATGAAGCTTGATAGCTATGTTTACTGAATATTTTATTGATGAGTTAATCAAGTGGATCAAGTCGGCAGTTTGAATTTTTTTTATTCCAAATGCTTTTATGCGCGTCGGTACTTTTCGCATCTTTTCGAAAAAAAATTTGCTATTGAATGCAAATTTTATTTGAGTCAATCAAAATTTTTTGCAAACGCCTCAACTGATCGATGAGAAGCAGAATGATTATAAACTCCTAATGTAACTACAAAAAGAAATTTCCATCATAAACGAAGCTTCAGCATGCGCGTGAATGCTAACGGGTTAAACAGGTAACCGAGCTTGACTGAAAACAAGCCATTTGGTTTGCATATCCGCCTCCACTGGTGATAAATGGATTTTTGTCTTGAAAGGACACGTATAAATTAAGCAGCTTGCGACCCAGGCATGCGGAGACGCTCCCATGCTCCCCTGCAAAGAAATAATTCTTTCCCCGATTTATGGTCAGCGAGTGTGACGTGCTGCTCTGGGTCGTCGACCCATGTATCCGTTTCAATTTTGTTGTGTTGATACCATTTGTCATATAGATGCATTGTTCTCTATCACAATAATATCACCTTTTATTTAATGATATATTAAGCGCGGACAAAGAAATTCTTGTCTGAACGGCAACAGGCCATGGGCCTATTTCCTCAGTGCCGACATTTCTATTCTAAAGCCTGCAAACCAAAGTGACCGTCAGTAGACTGTCAGAGGGATACGCAATATGCTCAGAGTCAGAGTAATACAGAGGAGTGGAGAATACACAATATGCTCGATGTATTGCATACTTATTTTCGTTACCGTAATTTCATTTTACAAAACTCGTGACCACTTACGAAGCTGACATTATCGTTTTCTTCAACGATAAAGCCTCAATTTCTGCATTAAAAACATCCAGATGGCAATTTTTCTAATAAATTATCATTCATTTCTTTGTGGGTTAGATAAGATTAAGCAAATATTTATTCCTCCTCGTCTTCTGTCAGTGCATGTATATTTTTTCTATGAGCAGCCCTGAAGCAAACATTAACATCGGTGCACACACCAGCGTTCACATCTGTACTTTTGGCCATAGCTGACGTGGTACCACAAGAACGTCGTTAGTTCAATGGACGACAGAGCACAGCGGGGTGTTGCTATTTTGCTGGAAACGCATGCCTTGTCACAGTCGCCTTAGCCGCTGCTTTGCTGCGACAGCTTCTGTGGCGATAAAATTTATGCGAAGCTTCAATACAGCATTGTGGGGGGCTTTATTCAAACGTTTCCGTCACCTAAGATTTAAATATAGTACTTAAAAAGCGAGTAAATAAGTACACTAATAATATTGGTATATAGATTAGCTAATGACAATATTTGATTTTCCTTTAAATATGTTTTTGCTGCTATCTGTTGCCGATTTCATGATATTTCAGGCCGTCTTTAACATTTCAGAAATGTTGTCAAGAAATCTAACAAACAATACCTCTACCATATAATAATAAATATATGTAATCGAATATTCTAGGTCCTTACTGTTCTTACTGAATATATTCTAGGTTCTAATTAAGTGCGAGTATGTACGAGTACATAAATTTGTTTTGAGTTGTGTAAGGCCAAATACATATATATCGAGAATTACTTGATTTTTTACTGCTGTGCATTGTCTGAATTTTGTACAAGGAATATGAAAATTATTCATTGTGCCTGCATCAAAACCTTTGAAGGTTGAATTCTCTTGAAAACCTTTGAATTCGCAACCAGCGTGGATCCTCGAATTTTGTCCGTTCAAATTTCGAGAACCGATGCTAGCTGGTCAATGCACGTGAAGTTTTCAAGGAAAACGTATGAGACGAGCAGCAAATTAAACAACGCTAAATCCAAAAATCTCCGTGCCCAGTCAAGAGCAAACATAAAAGATACAAAACGCATAGGAATGGATCAGTTTTTGTCATCTTGCCTTGCCATTAGTAATTTTCTTGCCACAAGAGAATCATGGTTCCGGGAAACGTTATTATGTCTAGCATCAGAGAAACCCATAATGAAAAATTGTTATTTTCGCCGGAATTTTGCTTAACAATCTCTGCAAAATTTCATGTTTTTCGCCGAGGCAACCTTGAGATAAACGAGCTGCTGTCAAACCAGGGTTATTATTGCGGCAACCACAGGGCTCTTCAGCACACGAGCTGCATTTCTCTGCTCAGCGTCTCGCAGAAAGCTCTTTGCTCAGGCTCTCGCGGGAGGCTTTTCTCAGCGTCTCGCAGGATGCTCTGCTCGGCGTTTCGTAAGATGTTCTAAGCTTAGCGTCTCGCAGGAGATTCTGTTCAGCGTTTAGTAAGATGTTCTATGCTTAGCATCTCGCAGGAGATTCTGCTCAGCGTTTCGTAAGATGTTCTAGGCTTAGAAGCGTCTCGCAGGAGATTCTGCTCAGCGTTTCGTAAGATGTTCTAAGCTTAGCGTCTCGCAGGAGATTCTGCTCAGCGTTTCGTAAGATGTTCTATGCTTGGCTTCTCGCTGGAAATTCTGCTCAGCGTTTCGTTTGCAGGATGTTCTCTGCTCAGCGTCTCGCAGGAAGTTGGCCGGTTTTAGTGCAGCGATCTCCAATTTCTGTTATCTATTCAACCCCATCAAAATTCTTTGAATCGCGACACGCTGAATGATGTCGGAGTCTTCTTGTATCCAGCTCTGTTAATTGTACATTTTATTTAAAGGATGTTTTTATGACCAACGAACAATTGAATGGAAAATCAGTATATTTTGTTAAATTCCTGTCGTTATGTTTTCACATTTTAATTTCCAATTAGCTAAATCCATGAACTCATGTTGCTATACAAAGTTTGACAAATTCCCAACAACGTTTTAATTGCATTATAAAGGCTCTTACTTGGATCCTTTAGCTTAATGTATATTAGGTTTTCAAGTCTTACTGCGTTCTCCCATGTAAAGGAAAAATACTCGCTCCAAAAAATCAAACATGAATTCGACGACGATGGCTACGCAAGCGTTGTATTATATTTTTTAACACTTGAATCAATCGTTCAAAATTCGTCGGACATTGTTTGCATGGAAATTACATTAAAATATGCAACAAGTTACGACTAATTTGAACGATTTGAGTTGACCAACGCAAATGAAGACTATTGGTCTATATAGTTTACTTGAGCCCAGCGTCGTAATTTTGAAGTCAACGTAATTATGCCCCATGCGAGAATTGTATGCAAATTGCAGTCGTGCGTAAGACACAATTGATGATCATTGAGGGCGAATGAATTCTCTAGTACTAAGGCGTAAATTGTAAAGATTCCCCAAGCATTTGTAAATTATAAACAAAATTGTCTAAAGAAAAACATAGGACGAGTGCGTAATCGTCTGTTTACGGATGCATTCCTATATCACTATAGCGTTCTTTATTCCAGGTTTGTTCGATAACCTAAATTCGTTTTCACTAATAAGTAATCAAAAGGAAAGAAGGACGCACAATGCTTGGTTAGTAGTTATATTATCCTGATGTGCGTTTGTACATTTAATTACTTTAGGGCATTTATTGGAAGGTTTTCCTATGCATATTCAGGCAGTGAAAAGTTTTCAGTTGCAAGTTTAGCAATATGTATTGCATGTCCCTGTATATACTGTAGAATTGTGTCATGAATCTAAGATATTTATGAATAAAAGTCTTCATAAAACAAGGAACACAAGTGTCGTTGACCTTCCTCATGCATGCACAGCTTCGTCTGGGGTCTTCCTCCGTCAAAACCTGCGGCTTACACTTGAACTCAGCGCTGACCCTGCGATGCTGAAAATGTTTCTCTGCGGCCGAGTGATGAGCGATAACCGCTTTTGGACGTGAGGCTGGGGCCCACGTGACTCGAATATTCATGTGCTTTGATTATCATTTTATTCAGGGTTCATATATGGGGAATATGCACTGCTAATGCAAGCCTTTTTGATATGATTATTGACGCTTGCTTGATATGCCTATACGGGCATCTAACGGGTTTCATACCCTATTTTATGGACTAAAGGAAATATTCTTGCGTTTCTGAAATCTTTAATAATTTTAAACTGCACTGAAATTTTAAAAGTAATTCTTCTGTTCAAATGCACGTCTCGCCGAATTCTTACAGTAGGAAATGACAGAAATTGAGCGACTTTAAAAATTAATATTCGGGGCGTGGTGGTCTGAAAGCATTCAGAGGCAGCCATTCAAATCGAAATTCACGCAACACCTTGTCGCATTAGAAAAGTCTGACTATTTACCTGCCACGCAACACTTGGTCGTATATCTCCGGATATCGCAGTCCATTTATCTCCATTTAACACTTCAATGCCCATTAGCGCAACGCCGTAAGTGGATAACTTATCTCTGACATATCCTGCTTTAACGTGGGATGAGATCGCTAATAAAACTCCATCGCTGAACATCGCCATTGTATCATCTTTCATTTGACTGTGAGCGATTAATTGCCGTGCCTGGCACCAGTTAAAAACTCGTTTAATTAAAAATCAAAGGTCAAATCCTGCATCCACGAAATTTAAAAGGCAATACCGGTTTTGAGTTTCGCAAGTCCGATAAAGCGCAACCAATTATTTGAAAAATTCGATGAGAGTTACGTGCATTCTCATCTTGAGACTATACAGTAATTACCTCCTTTGGCACTATACGAACCACAACGAGGCGTTGCTGTTTCAGCACATTCTTTTCTATTAATATTCTTTCGAAATAACGTACAAAATTGCATAATCGACGTTAAGAACTCACATGCCGGACACAACTTTTTTTTGGCGGTGCTCCACTTCCCCACACAGTGACTTCAATGAGGCTTAGGTAGTGTAATTCCTAAAGTCTTTTGTTCGATCGGTAGGCAGAAGTAATAGAAAATTGCAATATAGTTTCCATGCTTCCTAACAGCTAAAATACATGTACGGTTCATTGTATTGTAATGTGCGAAAAACTAATAACTGCTTCGCCTCGTGCCGTGACTGCTTAGCTTCATGCCGCGAATTACGCGACTGGTTTGTGACGTGCCAATGCATTCGCTATATAGTTAATTAATTAAAAGCTAATTTAACAGTTGATATAGTTAAATGAAAAGTTGATTTAGTTCAATTTATGGTGATGAAGTTTAATGTAAAGTTGAAGTACATTACTCGAACCTTCAAGTCTCTCTCGTCTTCCGTCGACTGCAAACAAGGAATCCCACAGCCGCTCTTGCGCAAGTGTAATGACCGGCAATTAGGAGCTACCTCGGTCTGTGTTTTCTAACAACATTTATTTTAAATTCACAATATTTTCCCCACGTAAACGTTTCGGATACCAGTTTTACTCATCAGTTCAAAAACACTTCTTATCTTATTGAGTCTTTAGCTGATGATGGAGCGTTGTCAATAATAATATAGATAGCTTTTTTGGCATTTTCTCTGTTTTTTTTTGTGACTTAAGAAATCATTTCATCTAAATACATACTTTTTTCAACAATTCCTGCACTGGGGATATCAAGGGACGAAATCAGAATAACACCTGGCTTCTAGACCACTAATGAACCTGAAGTAAGTACCTCTGTAAGTGGACAAGCCAATTGTCTGAACATATTTAGCAGAGTTTTATCTTAAGTGCATCGTATGAACACCGGCAAATTCTTTCACTACCTAACTCTTCCCGACGACCCAAACGCCGGAGAAGTCGCTTCTCGTCCCTTCAGGCAAATTTCGTTGAAAAAAATGTTGCTGACGAGTTGATTTCGTTGAAAGAACATTTAATCAAAGTAAATCAACTTCAGAGGCCTGGTGAGAGCCTTCTATTTGATTGAAAACGTAATGGCGTGTGGGCGATGCGTTTGTATTTAAAATCCTCGTTCTTTTTGTTATTATGATGGAAAAATTTCGGTTAAGTAAATGAAAATAAATTGGTTATTGATTGAACCTAAATTGCATTACAAATGACAACACCGATATAAGATGACGTTCAATTGAACCCAAATATAATGAGGGACAATTGAACCCTAATGAAATGACGGACCATTAAACCTCCCAAAAAATGACGCTCAATTGAACCTTGATAAATTACGCGCACAACTGAACTGAAATAAAATGACAAATCGGTGATCCCTAAGTAGATGATTGATAACTATACCCGAAATTAGTGACTAATTCGACCCGCGTAGTAAACCAATAAAATAGCGTGCGATTAAACCCGAATTCAAATAAAAGTAATCAAATCATAATAAATCGACGGATAAATGAACTTTAATATAATAATTGAATAAGAATAGCACGACAAAACGAACTATTTATTTCTTACGGAGCTTGTGCAATTTGCATGAGCGATATCCCTCATATTTGTGGCTTTATGATATCCGTCGCAAACATTAAGACAACGGCGATCACATCATGGAATGATGATGTAATATTATAACGATAATGTTATACTATATTGGAATGTAATAGGATATATATTGATGCAATGAAATTATAATGAAATAATATATACAGGGACGAAACATCTGCAATAGCAGAATACGTCGGGGTTTCATCCTCGCCGACAATGGATTACTTTACTTTTTCTATATAATACCGTATAAAATTGATGATCGTTAGTCGAATGATCCAAAGTATTCATAAAAAATGCATTTATTATCGCACAAATATTTTGGTTGGTGCGTCGTGATCTGAATAGCGAGGCACAAAATGCTTGCCGCAACTGAAAATCACTTAGACGATATATTTTCCGGATGAGACCTGAAAGTTTTTATTAAAACTGTCTGTGGCTCTCCGATTATACGACCGGTAAAATGTATTATATAAATTACAACGGGGTTAACAATTGTTATTATTGAGGAAAATATTATTGAGGAAAAATATTATTGAGGAAAATGTTATCTGTTAGATGATTCATGAACATATGATATTATTTTCATAAAATTAATCGACTGGAAACATTGTTAATTCGTTGTTGAAGGGATTTAATTTCAGTTGACATGCGTAACTCTACTGATTGTGATCGTCTACTGACGAAAGTAACAAAATAATTGTCAGCTGACTGTGCCTGCTGAAGGAATGTGTTTTTGTTCCTAAATACTGCGGGCAGCAGGAGATCGGTTGGGTTCGGACGTGTGAAAATATCTCACCTTAAGAGAGGTGCTCAGGCAGACTGCACCAGTCCTGTTGCGCTGACCGCGTCACGTGTTGGAGTGATGCGCAGTGAGCGACCTACCGCTGCAGTGCGTGCTGCTGCTGCTGGTTGCTTGCTGCACCTGCATCAGGTTGCTTGCTGCACCTGCATCTGGTTGCATTTTGCACCTGCAGATGGTTGCTTGATTCAGCTGCAGCTGGTTACTTGCTGCAGCTGTACTGCATNGGTTGGATTTTGCACCTGCATCTGGTTGCATTTTGCACCTGCATCTGGTTGCATTTTGCACCTGCAGATGGTTGCTTGCTGCACCTGCATCTGGTCGCATTTTGCACCTGCATCTGGTTGCTTAATTCAGCTGCAGCTGGTTACTGCAGCTGCACTGCATGGTGCAGCTGAATTATGTTGCAGTATGTAGCTGCAGCGTGTCGTTTTGTAGATGTAGCGCGTAGCGAGGTAGCATGATTCATCTTATATTATCTCTATGTAGCTGCGGCATCAAATGTACGCGTAAAGGTTGCAAGTTTTTACGCTTGTTACTCGGACAGCCTTTAAATGGCGGACATTGATGAAATAGTATAGCTGAAAAACAATTATCTTAGATTGGCTTATTAAGAAATTTTCCAAAATTTATATATTTTTCAATATTCGTATATTTTCCAAAATTCATAAGTTTTCCCTAATTCATAATTTTCCCCTAATTCATAAATTTTCCAAAATTGATAAATTTTTCGACATCGCTAATTTTCTGAATTTATAGTTTTTAGCGCATTTTCTCATTTATGGAAAAAAATGCACAATTGTGCTCGCCATGTCCGTCTGTCTGTCTGTCCGTCCGTCCGTGACCTCAAGTTTTCGTCGACGAGAAAATGCGCTATCTGTCACTCACTGCAGTGAGTACTGAGTTATATTTTTTTCATATTTTCCTTTTGTATGGTGGAGCTAATGTGGGAAATTTTTCCCAATATTGTTCATGATATTCTTAGTTGATTTTGATTTGTTAGTTATTGTCATGTGGTTTATGCCGTATTCAGAGTTAGATTGTACTTAGTTTCGTAGCCTAAGTAGTTTCAGCTAAGCTTTTCGTTCATTTGCCAGCAAGCATTCAAGTCACTTAGTCCATTTTGTTCAGTCATCAAGCATAAGTTAACTTGAGAGCTGCAATATCAATTATTCACTCATAGACGATTTATTAATTCCCAGCAGTCGGTACAACATCAGCAGTTCATCAAGTTGCTGTCTTCCTAGATGCTGTTTCCCTATAGCTTTGTTTGCATGAATGTGCTATTCATTACTTGAATTAATTTACTCTCTAAATTTTATTCTTTTATAGTACTCTAAACAAATCAGTGATCAATTGTTGCAAACTCAAGTTTCAACTTTACTGTGAACGGAGTCTCCATGCAGTGTTTGCCTAGGAACCAGTTTCCTCAGCTGAGACTCACGTTTTTCACCTTTTTCTTTCCTTAATTTCCAAAGCCAAGTTTTTAACTATACTTTTCTAATTTCCGTCTAGAGAGTAACATCCTTTAATTGAATTCCTCTATATTTCTAATTTGCCGCCTTCTTACAGCATTAGCACTGAGACATATCAAAATCTTCGGCTCGTTCTTGATTGATACATTATTATTGCATATTGATGTTCATCATAAAGGTAGGATTGTTCCATCAATTAGCGAACGGTATTAATTTAACTTTCCAGTATCGGGGAATCATCTGGGCAACGCCATTAAGGAACTTTTTTCTGCTGGATTGGTTACCACGAGTTATTCGCTACCACTGCCCTTCAAGATTGCCATCTCCTCTTTCATTGTTTATATATAATCCAGAGTATAAATATTATAATTTAGCCGCCTTATTATAATGGCCATATCACCGCCAGTATAGCACCTGCACATAATCTATTTTCCATATATATCCGCTGAATCTTATTTGCATTATTTTGTCCGATTGTGTGAGCCAGTCATATTCCTCACACTCCCTTATTCATTTCTATGGTGAGTCCGTCTTCATCATTGCAATCTCTGATACTTTCTGTTGAGAGGCTCGTTGTCACTGATAAAAATGTTTCTCATCTTACAACGGATTCGTGTTGGTGATAACGTGACCAAAAAGTATAATCAGTTTTTAGTTTTGGATTGTAATGGAGATTTCCGGCTTCCAATTAAACATGTGTAGCTTTTTAGCGCTGGTAGGCATTTACTATTAAACATTCGCCTTTTTCGCAATTTCTTGCTTGCATATTTAGTGATGTTCCAACTTTTGTTCTGTCTGCGCGAATATAGAATGAACAATATTAAGGAGGCTACGGTTATTCGACGGTTATATTAATATTAATATTGTAATATTAATATTATTAATATTAATATTAATATTAATATTGGCTACGGTTATTCGACGAGAGTATGGTTTGTCGTCTTCACAGGTGCAATGAATGCTAATTAAATACGGAAATTAGTGACGGCTGGAAACTTGTTCGCAGAAAACAATGCCTGGCTACTGCATCTGCATGAATTGAAGTTTTAATGCAAAATATTTTCCATTAATGCAACCGAGGAACAGGTTCGCTGACCTTCAATGTGAACGTACAGCGGCATCAAGTTCGGGAATTATTGCAGCGCTGGCTTACCGAGTTGAATATCCCCACAATTAATGAACAATGAGACAAGTTAAAGTAATGGTTCTTATTACAACATCCCGCTGACCGCAGGCGTGCCCGGGATATCCAGCAAAATGACTGTTATTATTATTACCTTCAAAAGTTTTGCATAAGGAATCGATCGGTGCGAATGCCTGTACGTTTTTTCCGTCTCTAATTGTGCCGCATTTAACCTCTAATTTCTCGTTAACGTTTGACATAAATTGAATATTGCTGTTGAATACAAAGTAGTCAGCTTTTGATTAGCTGCTCATTATGCAGTCGCTCCACTATATTTAGTTATTGCCGTATATATCCTCTTTAAGATCTTGTTTGACCTTACGAAAAATCGGAGCATTGCTCGAGGAAGAGATTAAAGAAATGCTTTCTATATCTACAAGGATTAGACATAATAAGAGAAACACATGAGAAATAAACAAAATATATTTTAGTATGGTGTAGGCAATTTGCGGCAATTACAGCCTCAATTAGCCGAGGATTGATTCATACAAATTGTGAATTGTTTCCAAATAAATTTTAACCCATTGTTTAGTTAGTACTCCTTCCAGTTCTTTCAAGGGGACCGTTTCGGTCAAAAAACTTTTTTATTTACTGACGGATCTCTTTGAAACTTGGAACACATATGTAGAACAAAAATTTAAGACCTTTTTGTTCGTGCAACTTTTTCGAAAAAAAATGAAAGAAAACATGAAATTAATAGAAACGGTGAAGAAATGAGGTACTGTAAAACTTCCCTCATTCTATAAACGTGCTACAATATCGAGAGACGTATCATTTTATTCGTAAAGACCATATCTAGAAACCATCCGATCATTTTTTCCAATTTCTAATTTGTTCGGGTGGGAGGGGGGATTATCCGAAATTTTTTAATTGTCACCTACCCACCCCCTTTTCCAATATATAATCCACACTATAACGAAATAAAAAAAAATGATCGGACGAATTGCAGAAATTTTCTTTACAAATCGAATGGTATATGTATATCTCTCATTGCTGTAACTCGAAAATCATAGGAGGAGATAGGTTTGCAATCAGAAAATTTCAAGTTTTCAGGAGGCCAAAAAAAAAAACGAAAATTTGTGATCATTGAAGGCATAGGTTTTATCGGCGCTTCGGCGGCTGTCGTGAAAGAAGAAATAAACGCACAAACAGGGCTGTGGGCATTGTAAATGCACGAATCTTGGAACTTCAAAATAAGACTAAAAACCGGAGGAGCCAAATTTTCGATTTTTTACCGAAACGGTCCCCAATTAAAGTTAAACGGTCTCTCAGTTAACTTCGACTTTCGGCCAGTCCTGTGATTTGCTGAGGACAAATTTTTTCTTTTCTTTCAAAATCACTCCATTATTTTGTGACAGTATCTCTAGAAACATCAAGCATTGGCGGAAGTTTCTGTCGCACTAGCACCTGCCATACGGGCACAAACAATTTGGTAACTTTAAAAGTCAGAGAGGTTTGCCAATTATAGGTTACAGGTTAAGTTATAGACACGAAAATTTATCAAAAATATTCGTACAGGGATAAAATATCAATTAGCAGCAACAATAAACAATGAAAACTAGAAATATGTCATGTTTTCATTGCTTATGACACGTTAAAAAATTACAATATAAAATGTCAGGTGTTTACTTTATTTCGTCCAACCCCTGTATTTATAACTAAAATTGCTATGACTACTACTTAACTTATTTATGTATGTCTATGTGTCTAAGACTTATCTTTGAACTCTTGGATAGCTGCTATCGCGGCGTTGATGAGAGCTAAGTCTGCAGACCATTTTTCGACGATGGTACACGTTCATATATAGTCTTACGTGGAATTGTTTTATCCATTTGTCTTTATATGAAAAAGCCTCATCTTTTCCAAGTCCTTTTTTCGTTTCGGCCTGTGATGGCGTGGGTTACTAACCTAAAAGTCTGAATAACGCGATGAAATGGAAGAGAAAAAACTTTATAGAAAAATGCACCAACTTAATCAGCGACATCCTTGCTGCACGCCGGGTGTCGAGTCCGTCGTTAAGTTTTGATCGTTGTTGATTTGTCGGGAGCGATCCGACCAAGATTGTCTCATAGAGGGAACAAAAACGGCCAAATCAGCTCACAAAAAAATTAAAAGCGGACCACCGTTCAATATTTGCTAAGAAATTTGTAATATACGGTGCAGCAATTTAATTTTAGGGAATTTTAAATTTTGAAAATTACAGATAGGTTAAGGGTCATCGAATATTTCAACTGGAAAATTCTATTGGAAAATGGCCCAAATAAATGAATTTGGCCACATCATAAATGTCTCATCTGGCAACCCTGATCCGAATTATCTTGAGGTTTGACGCCACTTAGGAAAGCGTCGACTTATTTTAGGAGTAAAAGTTCAATGCAATGATGCCATCTTTAATTTGATGTT